TGCCCCCGACGAGGCCCCCAGAGGGGGCTACACCTCTCACCTGCCTTGCCGCTGGCTGGAGGCAGCTGACCTGCAAAGCCACGCGCCTGCCACCCTGGCCAACGGCACCCGGCTGCAACTGGCGAGGGTCCCGGAGGGCGTGCTGTGGCAGCCCGACTTGCGGCACTTCTACTGCTGCTCGGGCTGCGGCAAGGTCTTCTGGGAGGGCTCCCACCTGGGCCGTGTCACCTCGCACTTCAGCGAAGTCCTGAACAGTGCCGCCGGCTCCCAGAGGCAGCCCAAGCCCCCTGGCCCAGCCAGCGGCCCCCCAGCACAACGCCCCAACCCCGCTGGCCTGGTCCCCTGGCCGAGGCAGGACCACCCTGACCTACACGGACCCAGTGCCCACCCCAGAATGCTCCAGATTGCCAGCAGGACCCCCGCACAGAGCACAGCTCAGGGGGACACGGTCTGCCCATAGTCAGGATGCTCACACCCTGAGGAAGGTGGGAAGGACATGCCTGGTAGAGGGCACTGCATAAAGGCCCCAGGGGTGGGACCCAAGTGGCTCCCCGTCCCCAGGACTCTGCAGGCTGCGGGAGGTGGGGGACACACAGGCCCCCTGTGCCGGTGGTCCACTCCCTTTGCTGTGATAGCAGACGCACTCCCCACCCCACTAGCCCATTCTGCTGGCCTCCCCAGGCCTCCCCTTCCCCCGAGCAGGTCCCAGCCAGGCCAGCCTCAGGACCCTCCAGCTCCCCCTCCAGTCCCAGGGACTCTGCTAGGCAGGCTCTTCAGGCCAGATGTGGGGGGGCTTCCTGGGGTTAAGCCCCAGCCCCACCTGGTGCCTGAGGCAGGGCAGCCCCCCTTGTGGAAGACATCCATGTGTACTGGAAGGCCGGGGCCTGGAGGGAAGGCAGCGCCTCTGAGTCTGCGACCCTGGCCCCCCGCTGGCCGGAGCTTGACCCCACAGGCCTCCCCCACTCAAGGCTGGGTGGCCTCCTCTCCTGCAAGAGGGCAGCAGCCGAAGCCCCAAGGGGCCCCTGCACACAAGAGCCCCCTCCTCAGCTTTAGGAAGCAGCTGCTTTTCCACCCACCAGAGGGAAACTGAGGTGCTGGCACCCCAGGGCCCTGCAGGCCTCACTGCCAGGTGGGTGGGGAGAGGAGCCAGACTGCATCTTGCCCTCGCTGCCTCCTCCTGGCTCACCCCCCAGGAATGTGTGCTCCCCCCCTCCACATCCCTTTCCTGTCCTTCCTGCCTTGAGCGGAAACCAGCTCAGATTTGGCTGAGGAGCCCAGGCGGAAACCTCGGGGGGCCGCTGGGGCTGGGGGCTGGAGCAGGGCCGCCGTCTGTGCCCAGAGTGGGTGCACCTGTGGGCCCAGGTACCAGGTGGGCTCTGGCCATGCTCAGGGCCAGGGTCAGGCCACAGGGTGTGCATGCAGGGGCTCCTCCCGCAGGCCACACAGACGTCCCACCATCTTCCCTGTCCTCTGCTTCCCCGGAAGTGCCCACTGGGCTCCAGGGCATGCCTGGGCTGGCTGCAGCTGGTGCCCCTGCTCAGATGGAGAGGCCAGGAGGCCCCGGGGACAGGGCCAGGCTGAGTGGGCATTGTGTCTGGGCCAAGTGTGCACGCTGGCCTTCTGGTCACTGCTGGGCTGTTGAGGTGAGTGGGTTGGCCAGGCCCCACCAGGGCCAGGCACCCTCTGTGGTCGGGGTACTGCTTCCTAGAGCCAGAGCAGCACCGAATCCTGTCCTAGGAGGCAGCCCAAGCTTGCTCCTCCCCAGGGGGTCAGGAGGAAACCCCCGGGGGTGCTGGCCCCCGCTGCCCACCCCCCTGCTTCCTGGAGACTCTGCCCTGAGGCCCTGGTGTCAAGGGCAGCTGGTCCTCAACAGAAAAAGGCCAGAGCAGGGGCAGCACGGGGAGACCAAGTGTCCTTCTTGCCCAGCACCCCTGCCCCGGGTGCCCCTCATGGCCTCGCCTGTACCATCCCACCTGCCTCCCCACCTCCCCAGCCCTCTGCCACCCAGCCTAGCTCTGGGGCCACCCTGGTCCTGACCATCTGGGGTCAGGCCAGCAGCCTCTTAAGGCCCCACCCCAGGCCAGGGGTCAGGCACCGTGCTGGCAGGGTGGGCTGGGGCCCTGGTGCCAGGCGCTGCCCCGAGCAGCCGAGCAGCCGGTGGGGCAGGCCAGAGCTGCGCAGGGATTGTCTGCCCCAGTTCCTGCCCTGGGCGTCCTTCCTCCGCTCTGGCCGAGGGCTGAGTGTTTGTTATTTGATCTCTATCCTCTCGGCCCTTCTACCAGGTGTCTGGGCTGCTGGGAAGAAACACTCTCCTCTTTCCCACGCTCCCCGACACATTTTAATGAATTAGCTGGAAGCCCCGCCCCCGCCCGTCCGCCCGCGCGCCCTCCCTCCCCCGCCTAGTGCTTAAGGGGGCCGCAGGCCCTGGCCCAGCTCCGGCCGCGGCCTCCCCTGCGGCCCTCCCCCGCCGCCAGACCCTGCCAACGAGCTGCCGGCACCCACTGCTCCGGCTCCTCCCCCAAGGCCCTGCAGGCAGCACCCCTGCACCACATCCTGGGAGCAGATGCAGAGGACCGGCCTGCCTATGGAGCCCGGGTTCAGGCGACCCCCACATACCCGGGGTCAGGGCTTTCTCCCCCAGAGCCAGGGAAGCGCCTGCCTGTTTGTGGAAGTGAAGACAGCACTGAGAAAAGCTGCAGATGCCCAAGGGGGTCGCTCGGGGCCCAGGCAGGGCCTGGCCAATGGCAGGCTTCTCCCCCTCCCTCCAGGGCATTTGGAACAAATGTCCTCCTTTCTCTTTCTCGGAACATCCCTTGGGCAAACATTTAGGAGGCAGTGCCCTGCAAGCCCTTCTTCCCCTCCTGTCCTAGGATGGGGCAGCCCCTAGGGAGTGGGTCAGAGCTGCTCAGAATGCAGTGACTGCCCTGCCACGGAATCCCATCAGCCCCTAGGGACAGTGTGACCCTCACCTGAACTCCACAAGGGCAGGCCCAGCTGCACCTGTCTGACTCTCACCCCGAGCCCTGCGCGTGTGAACCTCAGGCCAGACTCATGGCCACTGTGGCCATGCCGCCCTGGCTGGGGACACCCAAACCACCGATTTAATGGCTTGCAGTGGCAGCCGCGCATTCCCACACGCAGCTCACAGGGCCCCTTTGTCTGCCCTCCCTGACGCTGGCGCGGGTATTCCTGGGACTTTGCTCCCAGGCTCTGCCTGGGCCCAAGAGGGTCTCTGAGATGCCCTTCTTCAGGTCAGGTGACCTGAGCCCACATGGGCTGGGGCCTGGCTTCGAACGAGCCACCCTCGGGGGACCGCCTTGGGCATGGCCAGAGCTGGTGCACGTTCCCAGCATGCTGCCCCCATGCCCAACCCTGTTCCAGGGAGAAGCAGACAGCAGGGTAGCATGTGCTGCCTAGCATCCCAGCCCTGCACAGGGTCACGTGCTTACCACTCTGAGGGTCACTGTCCAGAGGTTTCTGTGGGCCCCAGTGGACAGGGCCTGGCCCTCTTCCCTGGTGCTGGGGTGGTCGGGGGCCCCAGCTTCAAGGTGTCCACAGTCCAGCGGCACCTGTTCCCAGGCCCTCTTACTGGACCCAGGGACACTTCCTGTTAAGAGGAGTGTCCTGATCGCAGTCCCCTCCCAGGTCACACCCACAGCTGGCCCTAGCGCAGGGCTCTGTGGGGCACTTCTGCGGGGGGAAGTCAGGCCTCGCAGAACTCCTGGACCACCAGCTGGACCACTGGCCTCAGGGAGACCAGCGAGTAGGACTCCGGGAGCTCTGGCTGCCAGAAGGGCCCTGGAGGGTCAGCTACGGTCATGTCTCAGCTTGGCAGACTAGAGGCAGCCAGTCCTGGGTTGGCCTTGCCCAGTTTTTCCTGTGGTTTGGCTGTGACTTTTCTAGGGCACAGAGCAAGATGGGGGTACCACTGCATGTGTGCAGACACTCATGGGCCCCCCCAGACAAGACCCAAGCGGGGTGGGCTCCCCAGATAAGGCCCGCAACTGCCTCCTGGGACTGGGAACTGGTCTCCTCCTGCTGCCCAAGGCCTGCTGCTCTGAGACTCATTCCTGCCCAATTTCCAGACACCACAGCCCAGCTATAAACTGTAAAACCCTAATGAGGAAATTTGGTGGCAGTATTAGAGCATCAATAAAATATGGGTTTACAGTTTGAAAATGAGTCATTTCTGTGTTTCCCTTCCAAGCAGCCCTTGGTGGCTTACCTGGGGCTGCTCATCCGGCCAGGCCTGGCCTACTCCTGCAGCTGGAGGTGGCCCAGCAGAGGGAAACAGGCCCTGAGGTCCCACTGACTAACCTGCCCCCTCTGGAGGAGCTTCTGAGCCGGGGTGGGATGTAGGGGGGCAGCCCCCCCAGCCTCCTCAGGTGGAGAACCTGCTCCTTCATCAGGGCAGGGCCTCAGGGTTTGTGGAGTCAAGGCGGGGTCACCCAGGCCGCCAAAGAAGCCTTCCTCCCCCCACCCCCGTGCGGGAAGGACTGCATGGCTGAAGTGACAAGACCGAGCTGTTCATGGAGTTGGCCCCGCGCGTGGACCCGGGGTCCTGGGGCCCAGGCCTGGCCAGTCTCGTCGCCGCGCACCCGGAGAGCTGGGGACCCCAGCCCCCCGGATCTGAAATGTTCCCGAGCCCCCACCCTGGGGAGGCCGCGCTTGGCCGGGATCGTGCCGGGGTCTGCGCGAGCGGGCAGCTTGCGGTTCCCCGGGTGGCCACAGGAAGAGCAGGCGGGACGACGGCGGAGATGCGGGGAGCCGGGGGCGCAAGGATCCAGGACGCCCCGCAGCCCGGCACCGCCACCTGGCCCCGAGCCGGCGACCAGCGCCCCCTGCGGCGAAGCGCGCGGCCGCCGGGGCACGCCCCGCCCAGCCCCGCCCCCACGTGGGCGCCGCCCAATCGTAGGGCCGCCGGCGTGCGCGTCACCGGCGCCCTATTGTTATGCAAATATAAAGGGGGGGTAAAAGGCGCCCCGGCGCGGCGGGCGGGCGAGTGCAGCTGCGCGTGGGGAGGCGCGTGGGGTCTGCGTGGGAGCCGCAGCGAGCAGGGACCCGGAACGCGCGGCGGCGCCGCCGGGCCCACCGGCCCCCGCGAGCGCAGTGCCCGCCCCGGTCGCCCGCCCGCCCGGGCGCGGCTGGATGCGGCGGGGGCCCGGCGGCGGCGGCCCCCGGCCCCCAGCGCCCGGAACGCCCAGGGGCGGCGTGCGGGGCCCGGGGGCTCCGCGCCCTCCATGCGCCCCGGCGCGCCCCGAGACAGCCAGGGGCCCGTGCCGCAGCCGCAGCCGCCGCCGCCCGCGCTGAGCCCCGGCACGGCCCGCGGCCCGCGTCCGGCGGCAGCATGAGCCAGGCTGAGCTGTCCACCTGCTCGGCGCCGCAGACGCAGCGCATCTTCCAGGAGGCCGTGCGCAAGGGCAACACGCAGGAGCTGCAGTCACTGCTGCAGAACATGACCAACTGCGAGTTCAACGTGAACTCGTTCGGGCCCGAGGGCCAGACGGCGCTGCACCAGTCGGTCATCGACGGCAACCTGGAGCTCGTGAAGCTGCTGGTCAAGTTCGGCGCGGACATCCGCCTGGCTAACCGCGACGGCTGGAGCGCGCTGCACATCGCCGCGTTTGGCGGCCACCAGGACATCGTGCTCTATCTCATCACCAAGGCCAAGTACGCGGGCGGCGGCCGGTGATGCCCGCCGGGACCGGACGTGGGCCTCGAGCGTGTCGCCTGCTGTACCTTCCCGCCAACTACCTCGGTGCGCACCGCGGCCACCACGAGTCCAGCGCGCGCGTCCGCGCCCACGGGGGGGCCCGGCGTCGCCGCTCCCGCGCGGCCGCCCGGACCTGGGCCGAGGGCTGCCCACGGCCGCCGCTGCCGCCGCCTGGCTGGGGGAAGGGGCGGTGCTCGGGCTGCAGCCCCTTTGAAATCTGAGTCTGGCCACCAGCGAGTTCGGAGTCCCGAGACACCGGATCCTCCGGTCCATGCGTTTCTCCGGAGGCGGAAGGCGGGCGGCGGGGCTCGGGGGTCCGGGCGCCCCGCCGCCTGCAGGACCCGCGGCCGAAGCCCGCCGCCCGGGCCCGGACGCGCGACCGTGGGGACGCTCCGCTCTTCTGCGGCTCCAAACTATTTATCCTGTGTGTGCACATTGTGGGTGCAGTTTGTGCGACTGATTTTTGTTGTTGTTTGGAAAATACTGTGCGTGGTCAACGTGGTTGTGGGGGGAAGATGCGTTTTTATTTTCCTAGTCCTAAAACTTAAAAAAACTTGAGTCTGTCATTTCTTGGTTGCACTGAAAACACCGCCCAGCCTGATGGTTTTCCCGTGCGAGGCCCCCTCCCCGCCCCCGCCACTCCTCCCTTCCCTCCCCCCCTTACACGCGGACATATCCTCGGAGCGCGACTGGGGAGCCCCGGGCCTCCCTCTGCCCTCTCCCGTGGGAGGCCGTGCCCCGACCCTGCTGGCTTTGCAGAGGCTCCTCGGGGGCTGGGGTGGCGTGAGGCCTTTTATAGCGACTTCTATTCTAGGTAGTTGGTTGCACACTTTTTTAAAAAAAGTAAATGGATTTGCCACGATTAAATGTCATAACATTTATGACAGAATATAAAATATTAACATATTTTAAGCCAAGTTTTAGGTGTATTTGTTGAATCTTGGTTATAAACCCAATTTTAAAGGGCGTTGTATCCAGCGTTGTGAAGGCAACAGTGTACCCATATTTATATTTTTATAAAATACCTATAAGACTGTGAATCTCTTGTGCTAATTGCTGAGTGAGTTGAAGGACTGTGTTGTCTTCAGCCTCCCGGAGCCGCCCGGACCCGATTCGAATCCCGACGTGGGGGAGGGGCCGCGCGGGGACCTGGGCCGGGGCGGGGCTTCTGCGTCACTATTCCCGAAAGGCGCCCTTCCTGGTCTCCGAGGTTCCCATTTTCTATGCAACCCCACACCCCTTGTTGTTTTGATCCCGAGAAATAAAAGGGAGGCTGAATTATTCAAATTTAAATGAGGCTTCCCCTGGGTAGAGTGCTGCTGACCCTTCGTGCAGAAATGGGGAGCACTTGAGGACACAGGTGGGTGGAGGCCCTTTGTGCGCGGCTGGTCAGACCCGGGCAGTCATCTGGGGCCTTTTATAAACCCTTGTGTGAGAAGAATATATTGATAATGTCAGTGAAACAAGCAGACATTGAAACTGAGGCACAGATTACTCCAAAAGGAGTTTTTCTGTATATTTTTTTCTAGATGCAAATACCTTTTTAATTATGTTAATTAATGTTAAGACTTTCTAGGCTTATATGGAAGCTGTGTGTGGGTCCTGGTATGATCACTTCTAACTGGATAAAGTCTGCAGCACATTCCTGAGCGTACGATATAGACTTGTAGCCCAGCATGAAAAATTTATGAATAAATTTTTCATTGATTTTTTTTTTAATTAAAAAAAGTTTGTTGGTTTTTCTTGCTCTTGGCACCTGGGAAGAGGGTCAGGCTGCAACACGCTACCTGTGGGTGCCGTCTACACAATGCTTGGCTTGTCTTCACCTAAGCACCCAGCCTGGTAAACTGGATCTGGGCACAACTCAAGTGCCAGCCCCAGTTGGCCACGTATGGAATTTGTGAGGTGCCAGGGGAGAATGCTCTTCCAGCTGGGGGGCCGGGTGGGGGGACCTAGGCCACCCTGAGAGCGCCCAGAACCAGCCCACAGGCTCTTTGCTCCCTGGCAAAGCAGCTGCAGCTCTTCCCACCTCGAAGCCAGCCTGAGATGCCACAGGCCCCCCTCTGCCTACCACCCCCTTCCTTTGCTGTGGGTTTCTGCTGGGCCACCTGCCGCACAGAAGGGGTACTTTTTAAATCTGGGAAACCTCAAGAGTTGCTCTCTCCTGATGACTAAAAGGCCTGCTTCTTCTCTCTGTCCCCTGGTGGCATTTGGGAGCTGGGGAGGCCAGCATGCCTCTGGAGCCAGCCATTCCTGAAGACCACAGACCCCAAGAGAGACGGACACGTCCCTGCAGAGAGCTCAGAGCAGGTGTCCGTTTCTGGTATATAGAGGAGAGACTCTCCATGCACAAACCTGAGATGCCCCTGGGGCACGGGGGCCTCATGAGAGGGGGGTGCCCGTAGGACAGCAGGTGGGTCCAGAGCAAGAGGATGCCTGCATTCAGCAAGGATAGCCTCCCCAGAGAAGGGGAGGCCGGCAAAGGTAACAGCTTTTTCTTGTAAGTCAGACTCTCTGCAGCAGCCAGAGGGTGTCAGCTTCCCGTTGGCAGGTCCTCAGGCTGCACTTTATCCTGCAGACACACTGCCCTTTCCACACGGGAAGCTTTCAGCCCCACCGGCCCCACCGTCCATGTTTCCACTTTGCATATCCTGCTCTGTTCTGCCCTTGAGGGTTTTCTGAGCTCCCTCTTCTGTCGCCAAAATCAGCATTTACTGTCCCTCAGCTGCGGGAGAGCCTGAGTGTTGGGGAGTAAGGAGCAGCTCTGACACCCACAGAGGTGAGTGGAATATTTGATGCAAATGAGCTCGCAGGGGAGGTGGTGTCCACTGGGCTGGGGAGCAGAGCTGCCAAGGGTGCCAGCTGGGGGTGCCAGGCCTGGAAAGAGAAACTTGCCACAAGAACTTGGACTTTGCTTGGGGTTTCTGGAGAATGAAGTCAGGCCGGGGCGGTGTGGACAGTCCAGGGGCAGGCAGGACCACAGGTCCATTCCCACCCGGGGAACTGCTGCGCCCCACCCCCTCCCGCACAAGGAGGAGGTTGGGGTAACACTAGCAGGTAATGCTTACTCCTGGCACTGGCTGTGGGGAGGGGTCTGCTGAGAGTGGCTGGCCCTTCGATGTCCCATCCCCACAGAGGAGAGGCCAGCTGGCCTGTGCGCCTGTGCGGCAGGCGCACGGGCTGCCACCACGGGGGCCCGTCTGCAGCTCCCTGAAGTCCTCTCTCTGAGACACACATTTGACTGAAAAAGGCTTTGTGCTACTCACAGAGGAATAGTTTTCTCCACAGCTTGGACATAAAGGAGGCCAGGGCCGCTCAGCCCCACGGCTGTCGGGGAGGCCTTGTGGGCTCTGGCTGCCTTTTTCCTAGGTGCTGCTTGGTGCACAGCCAACCTGGCCCCCCAGCCTGGGCCCTGGCAGTGGGTGGCAGACTCTGGGGGTATCCAGTCCAAAGACACTTCCTGCCCTCTGGGGTCAAAGTGATGAACAAGGGAGCCAGCAGGGCAATGCAGGTTCTCTCTCCAGATCCTCAGGGTACAGGAACAGACACTAACCTGCCAGTGGTGTCACCAGGGAGTCCCTCCCCAGGTCGGCTGTGCAGACCATGGGCATCCTCTCAAGCCTTCCCATGCAAGGAAGAAATCAGAGGTGACCTCTCTGGCCTCTAGGACATGCAGGTCTGTGTGTGGAGGCCAAGTGAGGGTCCTTGCCAGCGGCACCCAGGCCCCCCCACCCAGGCTGGAGGGGTCCGGCAGGCAGGGGCTGTGCCACAGGGAAGGAGAAAGGACACAGACAGAGTGGGCGAGGGCAGGGCCTGCTCCACACCCCTGGCTGGAGGTGCCGGGGGCTTCTGTCCACCCGACATCTCTCTGACCTGACCCCCAGCCAGACGCAGGAAGTGTTTACTGTTGGACTGGATGCCAGAGAGAGACCAGGAAATGCAGGAAAATGGTCAGCCAGAAAGTGATGTCTAGGGCCAGCAGCGTGGGAGCCAGGCCCAGCCTGCCAGAGGAGGGAGGGCCAAGGGCCAGGGAGGGGGAGGTCCGGAGCAGCAGAGGGAAGGGTTGCCCTCTGGCCTGTCCCCCAAGGGTCCTGCGGCTCAGCACAGGGTGGCACGGGGCGCCTGACACGGGGGAGCTGGGGAGGAGGCCCGGGCTGGACGGGGCCTCCAGCGCAGCCTCCTCCGCCGCCCTCCCCCACCTACCCCCCCACCGCACGCCCCCCCTCCAGAGCGACGCTCCCAGCCCTCCCCGCCGTCGGGCGCATTCTTCTGTTTGGCTGTACGTCGTGCCGTCCCTCCGCGCGCGTCTGTCGGTCTTTCTTCTCTCGCTCCCTCCAAAGCCGTGGCCCCCATTCATTCTCAAGGCCTCTGCCCTTTCCTCCGTGCGGGTCCCTGCTCGGCGAGCAGCTGCTATGCTAATGAGGGCGAAGGGAGGTGGGGGACCGGCGGGCGGGGGAGGCTGGGGGGCCCCGGGAGGTGGGGGGGCAGGGGCGCGCCTGGGGGCGGGCTAGAGGAGGCTGAGGCGGGGGGGGGGGGGGGGGGGGGGGGGGGAACCAGCCTGGGGAGGCTGGCGGCTCGGCATGGGGGGTGGGCAGTGGGGGCCCTGGCCCGGGGAGGTGGACGGGCGCTCAGAAAGGCCGGGATAGGGTGGGGACGCGGGGGCTGCCCCGCCACCCTCGACTCCAAGCCCGTCCTGCGCACCCACTCGCCAGGCGCGGGGTGTCTGCGGGGTAGAGACCAGCTGTCATCTGTGTTCTGGGGTCACGGCCTGGGACAGGCCGTCCGTTCCGAGGTTCTCCGCCCCCGCCCCCCCCCCCGCGCCCCGCAAACCCTGCTGCATGTGGGGGCTGCCATGCGCCCCCCAGGGGGTCTGAGCCCAGCCGGATGCTTGCTCACTGAGAGGGGTCCGGGGTTATCCCCCCAGAGGCGGCGCCTGAGTATCCTGGGGTTCGGTGGGACTGGGGCGGCGGCCCCCGAGGATCCTGACCAGCGGCACCCCCTGCCCCACGTCCGAGAAACCACGAGGGTTGGGGTAGGGGCCCCCCCGCGAGCCTGGCTCTTGGCGCCCGCGACGCCCCTGCGCCTTCCCAACCTCGACCCCCGACTCGACCGAGACCCTACGCGCGGTAGGGGCTCTCCTCCCGCCCCGAGGCAGGCTCAGCCCCAGTGGGGGCGCCGGCCCAGAACCGCGCTGCGCGAGCTGTGCTGCCGCCCTGCGGCCGCGCGGGGCACTGCGCCCACGAGCCCGGGGCTCCCAGGGCGCGACAAACGCACGACCTCCCCGCGGCTCCTCGCCGTGCGCACGCGCCCTCCCGGCCCTCTGGGGACACCCTGAAGCCGCCCCAGGCCTGAGCAAGAGGCGGGTACGTTGACTCCATAGCGACTCGTGGCTTCCGCGGTCCCCGGAGGACGCGGTCTGGGAAGTGCGTCTTCCACTGTCCCCATGAAGTGATCCGCAGGGGTGTGCTGTTCTCCCACCTGGCCCAGTGGGGAAGAGAGGGCACTCCAGGGCCCTGGGGCCACAAAGAATGGATGACCAACAGGTCATAGGCTCTGTCGCACACCCGTGGACGTGGCTACCCCATGTCACACTTCGGGACCAGAGTCATGGCAGAGGGTGGGGCGCTCTAGATCCCCGTCTGGGGCCGGAGCCTCAGCAGAGGGCTGGCGGGGGTGGAGGCCGGCCTTGGCCCCTTTCCGCGGGCCCCCACTCCACCACATCCCCGTGGAAGTGGTGCCGCGGGACAAGTGCGGGTAAGGAAAGTCTGTGTGCAAACTCCTGCCTGCTCGGAGCTGGAGGCTGGACAGCAGCCTTGAGGCCGGCTGGTCCCCCAACGGATCAAACCCACCTCTGCAGGTCTGCGGGCCTCTGGGGGACCCCGGGCAAGAACCCCGGGCAACCAAGCTCAAGACGTCCCAGATACGTCCCAAGCAGATACAGCAAAATTTCTCAACGGAGAAGTCAGGCAGCCCGGGCATGGAACGCGCTGTGAGGGCCCCGCTCCCCGACACTGCGGGCGGTGCCGGCTCCTGACCACCGGGCTCCCGCCCGCAGCGCTGCAGGCCGGCAGCAGGTCCAGCCCCCGCAGCGGGCAGGAGGGAGCGGCGCTCGGATCCGCTCCCGCAGGCCGGTTTCTAGGAGGGGCCCCGACACCTGCCCGCACCCCATTGGCTAGGGCGAGGTCACAGGACCAACCTCGCGGCAGGGGCGGCTGGGAAATGTAGTCCATTTCCGCTGTGCCTGGTTGAGCCGGTCATGGAGGAAGCCAGGCTGACCCTTTGGAGTCTGTGCCAGCCCTGGTGACATGACACCACCCAGGCCATGTTGTCAGGTGATGTGGGCGACAAAGGCAAAAGAAAAGTTAAACTTCTTACTACTTACCCCCCATTGACAAATCCTTGAGCAGAACAAGCGTCTGAGAGCTCCCCCGCCTCTCAGTGGACACTATTGAGCGCAACAGACAATCCTAGCCCGACCCCCCAGGACCGTGAGTCTACTCAACATATAGAGGTTCCTTTGAAAACTTCTTTATCTCTACCCCCACCCCCAGGCTGGCAATAAAACCATTCTTTTTTTTTAATATTTATTCATGGGAGACACACAGAGAGAGGCAGAGACACAGGCAGAGGGAGAAGCAGGCTCCATGCAGGGAGCTCTATTTGGGACCGATTCCAGGACCCCGGGATCACGCCCTGAGCTGAAGGCAGATGCTCAACCGCTGAACCACCCAGGCGTTCCTAATAAAACCACCTTTGTGTGCACCAAAGACATCTCAGGAATTCTTCATCGATCCTTTGCTCGGAACCCCAGCATGTCCTACATCATCAGAGCGACTGTGCTTTCTGCTCTGTCTTGCTCTTCCCGTCTGCAAATCCACCCAATCTTGTAGGTTTGGAAGTTTGTACTGAGGAACTTTCTAGGGATTAAAACTGTCCAACGATGGCCGAAGAGGAAGAAAACAGGGGCCTCCTGAGCCTGACCCAGTCTACTGCACAGGCCCAGGAGACAGGAAGGGCAGGCGCTGTGTGTACACCCGCAAGCCCCCGGAGCCCTCCCGAATAGGCCCGCTGTGCGCTTGGGTCCTCTCTTCCACGGTGAACAGCACGCTGCCGCGGAGCAAACAATACAGTGCTTATGGAGCCATCAGGACATCCAAAGAGGCTCTGAAGCTGGGAAAGGGCTCCAGGAACCCTCTGCTTCCCACACCCCAGAGAGTGCAGAGGGTCTGCAGGTGGAACTGGCCCTTTGCCCCTCAGTGCTCTGTTCCTGGTTCTTGTCGCCTTAACCTTCCTCTCCCTTATCGTGGAGGAAAGTAATAAGTAACCCGGCACTTTGAATTCTCAAGGTCATGTTGTTAATAAAGTACTCCTCAAGGTTTTCTGTGATGCCCTTTTGTGGTGGCTTCTTTTTATTTTATTCGAGGCTAAAAGAAAATTGTTAGGTTTATCATTTATATTCCTAAAAATCAACTGTATTGTGGTATAATTTGCACTCAATAAAATGCAGCCATTTAGAGCCTGGTAGGTACTGATCGATGTTTCCTCCTGCATAACTCATGCCATACTCAATGTAGGGAATATTTCCATCACCCCAAAAACCTTCTCCATGCCCCTCCCTGTCAAATCCCCCCAGCTTTACCCCAGATCACTGCTGATCTGATTTCTCTCACCAGGGATTATTTGTGCCTGTTCTAGAGTTATACATAAAAGGATTTGTGTGGGATGTACTTTCTTGGCGTTGCTTCTGACACTTGGTTTTTGAAATGCAGTGTGTTTCAGCAATTTCTGAGGGGCTCAGTCTTTTTTTTTTTTTTTTTTCCTCCAGAAAAATCTGGCTGGTACCACACAAACCAACAGACTAGTTCTCAATGGTAATGTTTCGATGGTGGACAGAATTCTTGTCCTCAATAAAGGTGCTGGCATCACAGAGACACCTCAGAAAACGCTGGGGAGTATGGGCCGGCCGGTCCCCCAACGGATCAAATCCACCTCTCCAAGTCTGCAGGCCTACCCCGCACATTTCCCAAATGGGCCCAGCATGACCAGTGTCACCCCCTCCTCCTGGATGCTAAGTCCCCAAGGATGGAAAATTCAACCCCAAGTGTCCACAGAGCCAGCCTCACCCAGGGGAACGTGGCAGTCTCACTGCATTGAGGGCTGTGCGCTTGAGGCCAAGGCCTCCCTTTCTCCAGAGATGAGCAGGGTAAGCTGTGTCCTGTCGCTTCGCAGCAGACACGTGAATTACCAGTCATGCGATGTCGTCAGTATATAAAAATCAATTGTATCTCCATGTCCTATCTATTAACATAGAAAACAAGACTTTAAAAATACAATTACAGGGCAGCCCAGATGGCTCAGCGGTTTAGCGCCACCTTCAGCCCAGGGCGTGATCCTGGAGATCCGGGATTGAGTCCCACGTCTGGCTCCCTGCATGGAGCCTGCTCCTCCCTCTGCCTGTGTCTCTGCCTCTCTCTCTGTGTCTCTCATGAATGAATAAAATAATAAAAAAACAATTAGTTCAAAATGGCTCATAGACATAAATGCAAGAGCTACAAACTCAAAATCATTTAGAATAAAGCATAGGGAAAAATCTTTAAGATCTGGGGTTGAGCAAGGGTTCTTAGGTACAACGGTGTGATCCATGAAAGAAAAAGAAATGGAACAATTTGACTTCATAAAAATTCAAAACATTGGCTGTTCAAAACATTTTTAGTTATGAAAATTGAGGGACAACCTATAGACTGGAAGAAATTATTTGGAACATAGATCTGATCAAAAACATACAGCTGGGGCAGCCCAGGTGGCTCAGCGGTTTAGCGCTGCCTTCAGCCCAGGGCCTGATCCCAGAGATCCGGGATTGAGTCCCATGTCTGGCTCCCTGCATGGAGCCTGCTCCTCCCTCTGCCTGTGTCTCTGCCTATCTCTCTCTCTCTCTCTCTCTGTCTCATGAATAAATAAAATCTTAAAAAAAATCAACATACAGCTGGAATATGTAAAGAGCTCCATCCCAGGACTCTGAGATCACACCCTAAGCCAAAGGCAGATGCTCAACCGCTGAGCCACCCAGGCGTCCCGACAGTCTTTTTTTCTTACAGCCATCCTGGTGTGTGGTTTCGATTTGCATTTCTCTAATAACTAGTGGTGTTGAGCAATTGTTCCATGTACTCATCAGACATTTACTTCATTTGCTTAGTTTCACTTATTGTTGAGTTGCGAGAGCTCTTTACATATTCCAGCTGTATGTTTTTGACTGTCAGCAGCCAGCGTTGGCGAGGATGTGGAGAAGCGATCACTCCACACACTGCTGGTGTGTAAGTGTAAGTGTAAAACGGTACTGGCCACTTTGGAGAGCAGTTTGGTAGTTTATTTTTTTTTTTTAATTTTTTTTTAAATTTTATTTATTTATGATAGTCACAGAGAGAGAGAGAGGCAGAGACACAGGCAGAGGGAGAAGCAGGCTCCATGCACCGGGAGCCTGACGTGGGATTCGATCCCGGGTCTCCAGGATCGTGCCCTGGGCCAAAGGCAGGCGCTAAACCACTGCGTCACCCAGGGATCCCCAGTTTGGTAGTTTAAATAAAAAAAAAAAAAACACAAAAAACCTTTTTCACATGATTCAATCATTCTACTCTTTGGTATTTGTTCAAGATAAAGGAAAACATACGTCCACACAAAGAAATTTGGGGCAGGGATCCCTGGGTGGCACAGCGGTTTGGCGCCTGCCTTTGGCCCAGGGCGCGATCCTGGAGACCCGGGATCGAATCCCACATCGGGTTCCCGGTGCATGGAGCCTGCTTCTCCCTCTGCCTGTGTCTCTGCCTCTCTCTCTCTCACTGTGTGCCTGTCATAAATAAAATAAAATAAATAAATAAATTAATTAAATTAAAAAAAAAGAAATTTGGGGCAAATGTCCCTTGCACAATTTATTCATGATAGCCAACAAGTGCAAACAACCCCAATGTGCATGGGATGCTTCTGGTCCATTAACACGGAGAAAGGCGCCCACAAAGGCAAGCCCTACCCATTTGGGTGAACCTCAAAAGCAGTAAGTGAAAGAAATCAGACACAAAAAGCTAAAAAGCCCACATACCTGCAACACCAAATTTTAGAAAAGGTTAAACCTTGGGAGACAGAATTAGTGGTTACCTGAGGAAGGGGTGGAAACGATTCACAGAAAAGCAGCAAGATGGATCATTCTGGGGTCGTGGAAAGATCCCACACCTGCATTATGGCACAAGTCTCCAAAGTTACTAAAATCATTAAACCATCCCCTTAAAAGGAGTGATGTATAAATGATATGTCAATCGAGCTGTTTTTGCTTTTGTTTAAACAGGAAAGTTGCAACGTGAAGAACAAAGTAAAACAAACCGGTTGGAGCTGTGAAGTTGGGTGGTTCAAGTGGGAAGAGCAGAAGGTGGTGATTCGAGGAGTTGGCAGGTCAGGTCATTGCTGGGCTGGGCAGGGGGCACCAGGGAGTGGGGCCGCCCTGAGAGCGTCCAAGTGCCTGGCCCATCCCACATCCCCACCAGTATGGGGGATGTAGCTTTGTGATAAAGCTTCAAATGCAGATTTTGCTTTATATACTTTCCCCGGTGTATGTTAGATTATACAACGCTGACCTTTTGTGACATCAACCAAATGCTTTATGGTTTTAAGGAATAAATCTCAGAAATGTGAGCAAGACCTGTCAGCAGAACATGACACAGTCCAGTCAAACGCGTGTGTGCTATCAAGCCTGGTGACTGCGTGGCTGTGTGATGGAAGCACACTTCCCAAACTCACTGGCCTGTGGATCCGTGAGGGCCCAATTCAAATCCTGAAAGGTTTTCCAAAGAATCTGACAAAGTCAGGGGCCCCTGGTGGCTCAGTTCAGTGTCAGACCCTTGATCTCAGGGCTGTGAGTTCAAGCCCAGCTTTGGGCTCCACACTGGGCATGGAGCCTGCTTAAAAAAAATGCAACCAAGTTCTAAGTGAAAAAAGCCCAAGAGCCAAGTAACTCTTCATGAAGGACGTCCTGCCAGCTGTCCTGACTTCTACAGACTAAGAAGCCGCAGTCATGGGGGCAGCGTGGTGCCCCAGCATGAGAACAGTCCCAGTCCCACAGGCATGTACAGAACCTGGGAAGCTAGTTTACAGCACAATGGGAATTACAGAGCCTCCAAAACAGAGGAAACTCGTTCATAAATATATCAGTAAAATAAAATTTAAACATCAGTAAACATTAAATATAAAAATAATGTCCCATATGTGGGGTTGGATAAGAGGACAGTGTTGCCCTACTTGGTGAGACTGGCCTGAGGGTGCAGAGGGTGGGCTGGCCCTCAGCTGGTCACAGCAAGTGGCTCAGGGTATAAGTGCCAACCCATTACAGACGGGACGCTGTGTGCTGTGGTGGGGGTTGCGGGGGCACCAGAAAACTAAAATAAAAATAAAGCAAGATATAAAAAGGCAGGACAACTAAAAGGCACAGAACAAAGTGACAAAGAGAAGGCTAAGTGAGCAGCATGCCCTGGGGGCCCGGGGGTCAGGGCCTAGGACCTCCGGGCTGGACACGGGCTCCCCTGGCGCCCATTCAGCCTTAGACTCCAGGGCTTCTTTCCCCTGCTACTCAGCATGTGGGGTCGGTGGATGCACTGGCCATCCCCCGCCCAGAGCCCCTTGGGGAACACAGTTCCCCAGTATCTGGGGCACCTCCCTGCCCTGCCCCAAACCCCATCACCCCAGGGTTCACAGAGCTTCTCTGTGCTGCCGGGCGCCTCCTGCTTTTGCTACCTGGGCCCGACGACTGCCAGGGCAGGTGGGGTGGACAGCACGGGAGGGGGGGTCTGCGGACCATGGGGAGGGGTGGGGGGTGGGGACATGTCCCTCCCCCAGGGTGGGCCAGGCCTGCAGCGGGAACACACCCCCGAGACCACCAGGTGGGAGCACAGAGGCCACCACAGGGCTCATGGGCAGCGGGGGCCACTAGAGCTGGTGGGGGCCACGTGGACGCAACCACCGCCTTCTGGGAGCCACATGCAAAGGATGCCTATGGCGCCTGAAAACCTGCAGAGCTCTGCAGCTGAGTCTCAGGGGTCTGTACCTTGAGGCCTCCCCAGTTCAGCGTCCTGAAGCAAGCTGCTGACCAGGGCGGGGGGCCAAGAGGTCAGCGCCCCTATCTCTCTGGGAGAGTCCCCTCACCTTCCAAAGCATTCAGGGGAGTCCCCTGGATCGCCTTGCTGTGTGGAGACCCACCCAGCCTGTGGCCTTCCAGGAGTCCAGGGGGAACCCGGGGAACCCCCCATTCCCCCAGCTGGAGAAGCCCCGGGGCTTGTGGCCTGCAGGGCTGGCAAGTATGCGAGGGCTGAACAGAGCATGCATGAGTGTGTCTGAGGGCTGCGGCGGCAGGCACCCCACACAGCAGAGGTCAGAGCCAGCTCCAGGGGACTGCCTTTCTCTGAGGCCATCATGCATCCTTGTAGCCTGGACCCTGGATGGTGCACCTCCCCCACCACCTGCAGGGCGTGCTCAGGCACAGCGACTGGATTAGGGACCCTACACAGGCAGACTGGGGGCTCTGATGGGGGTGAACTGACCCAGCCCATTAGCTCCCCCAGGTCCCTGGGCAAACCACAGGTTGGGGAGGGGCCAGAGACAGATTTATTAGGGGCCTCAGGCCAATGCACAGGCCCGGTCCCTCCTTCTGCCACCACCAACCCAAACCTCGGATTGTGTCCACTTGTAGCCACCGTGTCCAGTCGTGCCTATGCTACAAGAGGTTCACCCGGGCCACCACCTGCTTGCAGCCAGTGACAGAGAACTCCCGGTCGGCCACCCGGTAGTAGCTGAGCTGTGCCGCCAGGAGCTCAGCACGGGCCTGCTCCGGGAAGAAGCCCTCCCCGGCCATCTCATCCCGGAAGCAGCTGACCACGTCCTGCTTGTCCAGCAGCAGGAAGGGCACGATGGCCGCGGCCTGCCACAGCGGGTGCTCGCGGACCAGGAGCACCCTCAGACGCGCGCGCAGCTCCTCGTCGGTCTGCACAGCGGCTGCCAGAGCCGGCTCAAGGTGGGCATCAGGGCGCTGGGGCCCCGCGCTGGCTGCGTTCTGCAGCACGAAGCGCGTGATCTCTGCGCTGCCCACGCCGCTGAGGAGCACATAGATGGCGTTGTGGAAGGGGTGGGCGCGCTGCGGCTGCAGGAAGCCGTGCAACTCGTCCAGCAGCGCGGGGGGCATGAGCTCCGCCTCGTCCAGTACCACGAGCGGGGTCTTCTCCTCCACCTCGGCCCGCGCCACCACGTCGGCCACCAGCGCGGCCAGCTCCTCCCGGCAGGCTTGGGCCGCCCGTGCCTCGGGGCAGTGGTGCCGTGCGTGGTACTGCAGCACAAGTGCGCCGTCCTCCAGCACCGAGCGGAAGTGGCGCGCTAGCAGGCGGCCCACGTGGCTCTTGCCCACGCCGCTGGGCCCGTGCAGCGCCAGGAGCAGCGGGCGGCTGTGCACGTGCGTGGCCAGGTAGTCCCGCAGCAGCGCCACTATGCGAGCCACGGCCTCAGGCTGACCGAACACGGCGCGCTGCAGCGCCTTCTCCAGCCCATCCAGGTCGTAGCGCTGCGCGTTGTCGTCCAGGTTCTCGATGGCATTGAGCACCTGGAAGCCCACGATGGCCACAAGCAGCAGCAGGCAGCGCTGCGCGCGGCTGCGGCGCTCGGCGTGGGGCCGGCACTTGCGCGAGGTCTCGGGATAGAGCACCACGCGGCTGCGCCGGCGCCTCTTGCGCGGCGTCCGGGACGGCAGCTCGGCCGGGCCGTCAAAGGTGAAGAACTGTGGCCGGTCCGGGTCGGCGGGCGGCGCCCCTGAGCTGCAGCCGGGTCTGGGCGCCCCGGGCCCCAAGGCAGGCCCGGCGCCCGGCGCGCCCGGCGGCAGGAGGCGCCGCTTGCGCAGGAGGCACACGCGGCGGCGCAGGCGGACCACGGCGCGCAGGGGCGCGATCACGCTCGGGCCGGGGATGCTGGGCCCCGGGGCCGCGGGCTCCAGACCGGGCTGGCCGCCGTCCATGGCGCAGGGGCGGCGTTCTGCATGCAGGTCGCCCTCCCTGCAACGGAAAGGCGGGAGGATCTCCAGACTTCCGCCCGGGGCAAGTTGCCCCCCCCAGGCCCCCAGAGCGCGGGGGAGGGGGTCCCGGGCTCCTCTCGACCGGCGGACCAGGAAGCGGCACCCCTCGGGGCCCTAAAGCAAATTTCTCGGGTCCTCCCATAAACAGCCGCCGGACTTGAGGAAGTGGCGGAGGGGGAGGGCGCAGCTTATCGGGAAGCCACCCGGCTTCCTGGAGACCAAGTCGGTGCCAACTAGGCGCCAATTAGGGGTGAAGAAGGGTCAAGGCCCGACCTTGCTGCCCGACCCTGGCCCCAGCTCCCACTGCCCGGCTCCGGAGGCCCTCCGGACTCCCGAGCGCCAACAGGGCAGCAGAGGGCCGAGCACCCCTAGATTCCAGAGACCTCCCCTGCACACTAAGAACACTTGCGGGGGGACTAGCCCGAATTTCTGCTGTCTGGACAGACGCAGGCCTCGCACCCCCAAGATCCTCCCAACATCCTTCCAGTGGCCACATACAGTGGCCAGCAGGGAGCCCCCAGAGACCAGCCGGGTGGGGTGGAAAAGTGCACAAAAAGAGTCAGAGGAGGAGACCGAGCTGAAGAGATGCAGGACACACACACACACACACACACACACACACACACACACACGCACGCACGCACGCCCCCAGCCTGCCCCATACCTGCAGCTGTGTCAGGTTAAGCTCTGGCTGGCCCCTGGCCCACCAAGGGCAGCCCCCTCCCCAGGCCAGAGGCTGAGGCTGCAACTCAGGACACAGAAAATGCCGGCTTCCTGGGGAGGGTCCCAGTGGGGTCAGGGCCCAGCTGGGCCAGCTCAGGCGAGGACGGGGAGGAGAGTGAGTAGCACCTGTGGGTCCCTGGGGCCCGGGAGGAGGGGAGGAAGCTCTGGGGAGGTTTCCGCTTCCATGCAAAGGAAGTGAGTCAGGGGTGTGGCAAGCAGGCGGGACTTAGGCTGGACGGAGGCGCCAGAGGGGGAGGTCTGGCTGCTTCGCAGGTCCCCAGGCCTGGGGTCACCTATCGTCTTCAACCCTGCAGCCCTCCTGGCCCCATCCTTGCCTTCTGGTAAGGCTAGGGGGCACCCCCCCACCCCGGGATCCCACAGCCGCTGCATCTCAGCCTGTTCCCCACGGAACCCCTACCTACCCCAGGACCTCTCCTGCATCTGACCTCCCACAGGGAGGGGTGCAGGGAAAGAGCACATGGGGCATGCAGGGGGCCATCTGCGCAGCTCCATGATCCCCGTTCCCCTCCCTCATCCCCTTCTTCCCCTCCCCTGACCACAACCTGGGGGGCTCCCGGAGTAGAGCGCCTTTCCTTCTCCTCATCCTCCTCTTCCATTCTCTCCTTGTCTCCTTCCCTCTTCCCCCGTCCCTCAACCTAGAGCCCTCCCACCCCAAGGACAGGACCGAACACTGGGGAATAAATTCTAGAGCTGGGGTTAACCACCCCCCCACGCATAGCTCAGCATTCTGGTCAGGGAGCAAATTTAGAGAACTTAGGCCAAGATGTGGCAGGTGGGGGCTCGTGTGTCCCTGCCCCCAGCCCTATTCCCATCTCTGCACAGACGGCCCGAGTGACCCTCTACTCTTCCCATTCTGACCAACCAAAGCCCCAGGCTCCGGCCCAGGCCAGTCTGCGGCCCTAAGAGGGCTCACCAATCAGTACTGCGCCCAAACTAGTCTGGCCCGGTGTCCCTCTGGCAGAGGCAGTCCAGTCCCTTGGCTGTCCTATGGTCCTCCCAACCTCATGCTCTGAGCCTCCCTGTGCCTCTTCAGGCACCCCCCCCCCTTTGCCCACACTGGCCCCCCCACCCAGCACTGCCTCTGTAGCTTCCTCCACTTCTCTGACCAGCAGGCGTGACCTCCACCTGGGGAATGTTGGTCATGGGCTTGGGAGTCCTCATTCCATCCAGTATGGGACTCACAGTCCTGGTGATGCATGGGAGTTGCTGTCCTTGCAATGCCCTCGGGCAGGGTCACTGCACTGAGAAAGCCCCACTTATTTGCATGCTCTGCAGCTGTGGGGCCTGGCTCCCCAGGACCTTCCTCTGCACAGGGGCAGGGGCTTGGGGCCTTGGGCACCGCCCCACCACATGGGCTGGCTGTGCTCTCAGCCTTCCTGGGACTGGGGCGGGGGGGGGGGGGGGGGAACCACATTGTCCAGATCCTGCCCATGCCCTGAGATCCCAGCTTGGAGGCATGGGGGGCAGGGGTGAGGTCCTGCCTGGCTCTCTGCTTCCTGGGGAAAATGAAAGCAACTCGAAGGGGGCCACCCCCCAGCACCTGCACCACAGGTGTCTCCTCCCTAAGAATGTCCCCGTTTCCAGGTGCAGGGCCAAGCATCCAGACTGTGGCCCACAAGGGCAAAAATGCCTTTATGAAGGCACCTGCTCACCTGCGCTCCATCCAACCCGCAGGGGTGCCCATCAACAGCTCATCCACTGGATTTACCCAAACACTTTTTATTTACATAAGTGAAAGTCTCACTGTGTGCAACCGCTGTCCCCCACATGGGCAAGACGGTGCAGCTGAGCAACAGGGAGCATACCACTCCAAGGGTAAACTGAGGCAGCCAGTGGGTCGCCTGTGCTTTCCTTAGCCAAGCCCACTACACAGGGCGCTGCTGGTCAGGGGAGAAACGATTCCCTGCCTGAAGGGCCATGGGTCAACCAAACTGTCCACTGTGAAACAAAAGCTCCTCAGAAGCAGCTGGGTTCAATCTGCAGATAACTGGACCCAGCAAACCACATGACTCTGCCAATCCAGGCCAATAGGGCTGGGCTGCCCCTTCCCCTTTGCCTCAGGCCTCGGCACCCTGCCCACTCCCCATTGTGGCTTTTTCATAATTCCAACTACTGCCAACCTGTCTCCCCTACAAAAATGGAAACTCCTCACTCCTCTGGCAGGAGTGAGCCAGAGGTTTCCACAGCCTGGGAGTGTATCCAAGGGGCCAGGCTGGGCACAGCAGGACCAGTGCTGTCCTCCAAAGATGCACACAGGAGCCCATGAGGAGCAATAACCGGCCCCAAGATCAAGGTCAGGGTGGGTTGAGGCCCAGGAGAAGGGTGCCCCCCATGCAGGATGTCCGAGGGCGGGGGGTGCCCAGCCTGGCCCCGGGGGCAGCCAATCTGCCACCAGTAGAGGTGGGGTCCTGACACTCCCAGCTCTAGGGGAGCTCCTTCAGGCCAAGGCCACAGAACCACCAGGAGGCCTGTCGAGTTCTGAGCAGCCTGGTGAAGCCTCAGAGCCCAGCCGGTGTGGACACGGTGGGGAGGGGCAGCTCCAGCGCTGGAGTCTCTGCAGCCTGGGCTGGGCTGGGCTTCCGGTGCTCCAGCTGCTCCAGCTTCTCGCCGAGCTGGGAGTAAAGTTCCTTCACTGCCTCTCCACTCTGGGGGGAAAGTGTGTGGCTTTGGGGCAGGCCCAGGGCTGCTCGGAGCAGACCCATGGTCACTTGGGTCAGGTCCATACAGGGGCTGTGCCAACGAGGAAGATGAGGCCACCACAGGCAGTGTGGCCCCCAGGGTATGGGCTGAGGGTTGGGGCACTCACCTGGCCGGTGGGCTCCAGCGCCTTCCGCAGGGCTTCCAGCTTCGATGGGGCCACCCGGTGGTGCAGGTGGATAAGGAGCCGCAGCACATGTCGCTGTACGTTCTCCTTCCTGGAAGAGGCCATGGCAACGCTGCAGGGGACCGAGAGCTGCCCTCCCTACCCAGGTGTCCACACGCCTCCCCGACTTTGCCCCAGCAGCACAGATATAGGCAGAAGGTGGGCACCTGGGGGAGGCTGTGAGGAGGAAGCCATCAAAGAGGCTCCTACAGAAGTCTTCCAGGGCAAACTCGTCAGCCAGCAGCGCCAGATTGCCCATGAGCAGGTGCAGGAAGATGTCACCAAACGCCAGGTCACCAAATGTCTCCACTGCAAACACAGCAGGGGTCGGTCAGCTTCCCTAGGCCTGCCACCCTTACCCTTGCACAGGTGGACAGTGGAGAGGCTGCAAAGCGGCAAGGTCACCTGAGGATGGGGTGCCCGGTTTTCCTGCAAGCTGGAATTGGGGCAGGGCAGAGGGGCAGCCAGGGGCCCAGACCTAGGCAGTGAAGCAGGGCTACGGTGCAAGGACGGGGCTGGGGACGGCAGAAGAGCCTGTCACCATGACCAATGGCCAAGGGACTCTGGATGAAGTAGACTCCAGGAGAGAAAAACTCTAAACAGACCAGAAACTAGAAAAGAAACCCAGGCAATACCAAAAAAAAAAAAGAAAAAGAAACCCAGGCAAGTGCCACATACCACCCATTGAGTCCTACCAGACTGCTATCTGCACCGTTCTGGAAAATATATTTTAGTATATGTGCTGCCGAAGCAAGCACTGGTTCTGGAAAATAGACCACAAAAGAAAATGATTTCATGTTTTGAAGCCACGGACTCCAAAATGTAAAAGAAACAGCAAAAGCATGGGGCGCCTGGGTGGCTCAGTGGTTGAATGTCTGCCTTTGGCCCAGGGCATGATCCCAGGGTCCTGCAAGCGAGTCCTACATCGGGCATTGAGCCTGTTTCTCCCTCTGTCTGTGTCTCTGCCTCTCTGTGTGTCTCTCATGTATAAATAAATAACATCTTCAAAAAAAGAAACAGCAAAAGTGACTACCAAGGAACCTCGATGAGCAGAGACAGGAACATCTTTGCATGCAGCCAACAGGGCCAGAGACCCAGCTGGACGGCAAGAGGCCACACGGGGACACATATGTGGACACAGTGCTATAGCAGAGGCTTTGAGAAATGCTGCCAGGGGACTCTGTGACCACGGACCCAGCGGATGTCAGCAGAACCCAGAATGTGAGGAGACCGGGGCACCACTGGACACAGCTGGAGCGCATTCCTGCCACACATCTGACTGGAGAGGACACTCTGCCAGGGGCAGTCACTACAACAGGGGACGCCACCAGCAAAGTCCCAAATGGAAAACACGTGTCCTGGTTCCCACAAGTCCCACAGAACCCTACAGACAATGAGAAACCCGAAAGCCTGCCACCCTTTGCAGGTGGAAACAGAGAGTGGGAAGGGACACACTTCTTGTTTGAATCCTGATGGGAACAAACCATCCATATAAGAATGTCACAGACAATTAGGGAATCGTGGCCACTGCCAGGACCTGGCCCCAGATGTGACTACATGCTGCAGCTGTGCTAACACCACTGTCTTGTGGAGACACCTGCTGAATCCCTCACAGCTGCTGTGCTGGCAGCATGGATTTAGGTCTAGACCATGACCCAGGGCCCCCACGTAGGGAGCTAGTAAGCACAGGACTTCACCATGCTCTTGTGATTTCATCAAAAATCCCCATAATAAAAAGCTAAAAAATAAACAGAAAGGAATTTTTTAAATCTGCATCTTCCTAGCACCCACTGATGACAGCAAAGAATAAGTGTACTCTTGCTAAGCTTATGCCCACTGGTGGCAAGGACATGCTGATGCTCCCAATGCATGCAGGACACTGCTGCGTCTAGTCAATACCATCAGACAAGAGAAAGAAACAAACTACTGAAATGAACAAAAATGACAAATGCAAGGTATTTGTAACTGCACTCTTGGAAATCTCCAGAAACACAAAAAAGCTCCAGCATCCGTGACCAAGAGGAGGACGACCCTGGGACAGGTCCACGCCCTGATCCAGGGGCTGGCGAGCATGCTACCTCGCAAGGTTAAGAAGCCCCCAGATGGGGGGGATCCCTGAGTGGCGCAGCGGTTTGGCGCCTGCCTTTGGCCCAGGGCGCGATCCTGGAGACCCGGGATCGAATCCCACGTCAGGCTCCCGGTGCATGGAGCCTGCTTCTCCCTCTGCCTATGTCTCTGCCTCTCTCTCTCTCTATGACTATCATAAATAAATAAAAATAAATAAAAAATAGTTATAAAAAAAAAAAAGAAGCCCCCAGATGGGAGATGATCCTGAGTGACCCAGGTCAGCCCTGTGTCCCCTAAGAAGGAGGTAGGGGGGGATCCCTGGGTGGCGCAGCGGTTTGGCGCCTGCCTTTGGCCCAGGGTGCGGTCCTGGAGACCCAGTATCGAGTCCCACGTCGGGCTCCCGGTGCATGGAGCCTGCTTCTCCCTCTGCCTGTGTCTCTGCCCCTCTCTCTCTCTCTCTGTGTGACTATCATAAATAAATAAAAATTTAAAAAAAAAAAAAAAAAAAAAGAAGGAGGTAGGGGGCGGTGTTGGTGAGATGCAGGGGTGAGAGCAACTGAGCCAGGGCTCGGCAGTCCCCGGGAGCTGGACACAGGGAGACAGATTCTCCCTGCAGCCCCCAGCAGTCGGGCCTGCCCACACCTCAGCCGTGGCCCCAGGACACTCGCTTCATCCTTCTGGTCTCCAGAGCGGAAGAAAATCAGTTCGTGCTGTTCACTTAGACGGAGGCTGGAAGTAAGTTAAGAGCCACAAACAGCTTCCTCCCCAAACAGAACACTGGGAGCACAACACGTGCACCATCCTCAGGCCTGTCAGTGACCCAGAAACACACTTAATAAGAGCCCCCATGTCCCTCTGAAGCAACCTCAACACCACAGACGAGCCCGGGCCAGAGGCCCCAACACCCTGCTCCCTGGCTGGGCCTGCAGCTTCCACCTGAAGGGGTCCATTCAGGCCCCTCCCTCGTCTTCCTGCCCGAAGCATGCCGCCCCCACCTCAGGTAGCCGCAGACTCAGGCTCCGCACTGGAGGGGCACCACCTCCCTTGGCAGGGAGAATAAAAGGCAGCTGTGGCACCACAGCAGAAACGATCCTTCCACAGACGGTGACCGTGGATCTGTGATGGGGTGACAGGAGGTCTGATCTACCAAGCTGGGCTCCACTCGCTCTTGCACCCAAACAAGTTCCAGAAGACTGAGACCCACACGCGAGGCCAGACTACCCCTAGGAGGTGGGATGAGGCTGTGGTGTCGGGGCACCACGTGGGCAGCTGCCTACACACTCACCGAGCCCTGGCAGCAGGCGGAGGAGCGCGTTTTTGTTCCTCTGCTTGGTGATATGCAGCACGTAGTACAGCCCCACCTCGCAGGCCATGCGCTGCTCCTGCAGAAATCTGGGCCAGCATGGATGGGCCACCCTGAGCTGCATGCTCTATGAAGCCAGGAGGGGCTCCAGAGGGCAGCAGGGCACCCCCACCCTTGCTCCTGGAGCCCATACTTAGTGAAACTCTCTGGAAGCGTGTTGGGGTACGTGACTGGGGCCTTCTCCTCAGCTGGGAGCTTCTGATCCACGTTGAAGGTGTGGTCATCCACCACAAAGGACATGAGCATGGGCAGGAACCTGGTGATGAGCTCCACCTCCTAGGCCAAGAGAAAACCCACAAGTGGTCCTGCAGCGTACCCCACCCCTCGCCCGCCCACCTCACATCTGTCTTTCTTGGACATCAGCCTAAAGGCCTGTCCCTCCTTCCCATCTCCCAACACCCCACCTTGCTGATCTTCCTTGGCCCCACAGACCCTCTCAAGAAAGCCACAGAAACAGTCCCACCCGAGTCCTGTTACCATCTTGGGCTCCTTGAAGACCTGGCTGTCGATCATGTCCCACGCCCCCTGGCCCAGGGCCAGCAACCTGAGCAGCAGGAGGAGGTCAGGGCTGTCCTATGGAAAGGCCAGGGCCTCAGCACGTGCTCACCTGGGCCTCCCTCCCCCACCGAAATCACTTGTAGCCCAGCAGGGTCCTTGTGCTGCAGCCAGAAGCGTCAGCTTTGCTCCCAGGCTCCACATGCCCACCATCCACCAGGAGCACGTCCACTCATTGGGGCAGCACAGACCTGGCCACCGGCTGCCCACACTCACACATCCACGCAGGGCGCTCACCCTGGGCAGTGTCTCCTGGCCGACCAGCTCCTGCAGGTGCCTGACGGTGCTCAATGACAGGGTGTTGATGGCAAAAGGGTCACACAGGATCATGGACAGATCCCTGTGAGGATGAGCATGTTGCATTAACCTGGCACAGCCACAGGCTGGGGAGAATGGCCCCTCCACACACAGCAGGCCTGCCCACCCACTCTGCATATTTTCCAAAAACAACTTTGCTGTTCATAACTTATCTTTAACTTACTCAAAACAATGAAAAGCCAAAAAGGTTTTTTAAAAAACTAAGCTCTCAGGGCTCCTGGGTGGCTGTCAGTTGGGCATCTGCCTTCAGCTCAGATCATGATCCAGGGTCCTGGAATCGAGTCTCATGTCAGACTCCCTACTCAGCGGGGAGTCTGCTTCTCCCTTTCCCTCTGCCCCTCCTACTTGTGCTCTCTCAAATGAGTAAGTTTTAAAATGTTTTTAAATAAAAAAAATAAAAATTACAAATAAATTAAGCTCCTGTTTTGGTTCTGAAAACCCGACCCTGATTCTGTAAGCTCATCCAGGATCCCACAGAGATGGTCACAGAGAGAAGGCAATGCTGGGAGCCAGATCCCACCAGCACCATGGTCCCTGGTACAGGCCCCAACTACTGCACACAGCAGAGCCCCGGCCCAGGCCCCAGATCACCCCAAACTCTGACAGCCTCAGCCCCAGCAGCCAGGTCTCTCTGCCGTGCGCACAAGTGCCAGGCAGTTCTAAAGCATATTAAACTATGGACACAGCCTACTCGTCCAGACAGCTGTGGACAGGACCCTGGGGGCTCCTGCAAAATGCCAGTGCTTACCCCAGGACCTGCTCCTGCCCCTTCTTCACTCCATCCAGAAATCCCTGCAGCTCCCGGGCCCTCTTGCTATCCACAAACCGCTCACGAATGCAGGCGTCCAGGCACCAGGTAAACTGCGGAGAGGAAGCACAGTCATGACATAACCAGAGGCCATGGCCTCTAGGCGGCACTTGTAGTCACTGCTCAGGCAAGACCCGTGCCCAAGCCTCATATGAGCAACAGGACCCAATGCCTCGCATGGTCACATGCCCAGCGGGCCAGGTGGTCCACGGAGATGTTTGTGCCTCTCTGGGGACCTGTCATCGGGGCAGGGACCAGTCTCACCCTGACACCACAGATGTCACAGGCTGCACTACACCCACGCAGGGGACAAGGGCGGTGCGGAAAGCACCATCCCTGGAGCACAGCACCCAAGGACTCTGGAGCAGGGGAAGAAATAGGGCAGGCAAGTAAGGGAGGTACAGGTGGCTCTGACTCAGGAGCCTAGAAGTTACCCCCTGCCCCTGAGCCTGGTGGGCAGAGGTGGGGCAGGGGCTGGGTGGGGGGGAGGGGGGTACATGAGGCTGCCACCTTGTGGCAGGGGTCCACAGAGCAGATGTCGCCAACGTCCAGCTCGTGCAGGGACATGAGTAGCTCAGCCCGCAGGGTACAGTAGTGCACGTTCCGTGTCCGCAGGAAGAGGGTCCGCAGGAACTGCAGCACCATGTCGTACAGCTTCACGTTCTTCCCCACCATTTGTGTCAGCTTCTGAACCACCTGGGGGGTAGGACCCCACGCCACAGTCTCACCAACAGCCCCAGGGGCAGCACTGCCCTATCTCTACACTCAGCCCTTCTACTTGTTTGGCATTAAGAGCATCCTCTCTCACAAGACTCCTTCTCTGTGTCAGGTGGTGGCATTTCTGGTTCTGAAGGAGAGCAAGCCCACATCAGATCCCCCAGCTTCTTTCAAAGGCCCCGGGCCTGGGACCCTGACTCCTCAGAGCCGCCCAGGAGGTCTGCCACCTGCCTGACCCGTGGATACTCAGGTGGAACAAGGATACTCAGGCCCACATGACGGATACTGGCCACACAGTCAAGACCTCACTACTATCTAAAGCCCAGCCTGGGCCACCTCACTCCCTGGATTTTCCCAAAGCTTGAAGCCCTGTGGCAACTTCACACCCTGCCCTCATTCCTCGGCAGAGACCACCCACCTCTGCAACCCACACCCCAGGCAGAAAGTTCCTGCCGCACCGCCACAGCCAGCATGAGGGAATGCTGCTCACTGCACATTGGCTGTGCACAAGAGCGGGACCTCTTGCTCTAATGGTGCAAAGTATGCACAGGACAACCTGGGGCAGTGGACCCCATAGCACCCCAACAGCACCAGGCTGGACATTGAGTGCAAAGACGAGCAGGGATGGCAGAAATAGTGAGCATAGGACAGGCCACCTCAAGGGCTCTGGGCAAGGCCTCTTTAGCAGGCCTCAGGGACCCTGATGTACAGAGCGGACCTGGAGTGCAGCCTGAATCTCAGTACCCACCCAGTGGGTACCTCCAGTGGGGACGAGAGCTGCCACGTGCCTGCCCTGACCACAGCCCAGCTGGGCACAGAGCCATGGCCCCCGGGCCTGAGCCACACCCTGAGGACCATGAGTGACACGTGAACCTGCCACAGCACTCTCCTCCTGCAGTGGTGCAGGTCACACAGCAGGACTCAGGCCCCACAGGGGGACCCTAGCTTACGAGGCAAGAGACCACAGGCAGGAATTAGTACTACAATCACTGGCCAGGTCCTGGGAGAAAACATTAGGTCAGATCCCACATCACAAACCAAGCACAAAACCCCAGGTGAGAAAGCCAAGAACCAACAAAACACCCAGTGACACTCAACCAGGATGTGGTTGGCTGGCCACCATCACCGTCATCCTCCGTTAAGCTGTCATGCTGGAGCAAGTCAGGGGACTTTAGGGACCCCCAACTCACTGGGAAAAGCCAAGTCTCCACAGTGGCCTCCAGCCCTCCTGAGCTCATCCCCCACCTACTTGCCCATCTGCTCTCGCTCCAGCCACAGAAGCCTCTCTCAGACCATCAGCCTGCTCCTCTGCTGAGCCCGGGCTCACACCCTGGCCTGGCTCCTCCTCTTCATTCCCAGCCCTGCCTCACCTTGCTCTGTGACCTCAGGTCTCCGCAGCCCTTGTCCACCTCTTGAGCTCTGGTCACCAGCACGTGACATTCACTCTGTAGTGTTTGCTCCCTACAAACTGTGGGTACCCCAGGCAAATACCCCAACCTCTGGGGTCACTCAAGTTGGGGAAGGGGAGGGGAGGGGAGGGGAGGGTGCCTGGCCCCCTCAGTCAGTAGAGCATCCATCTCTTGATCTTGAGATTGTGAATTCAAGCCCCACGCTGGGCGTAAGGATGACTTAAAAATAAGATCATAAAAAAAGGGACGCCTGAGTGGTTCAGTGGTTAAGCGTCTGCCTTCAGCTCAGGGTGTGATCAGTCCCATGCTGCGCTCCCCACAGGGAACCTCCTTCTCCCTCTGCCTGTGCCTCTGCCTCTCTGTGCCTCTGATGAATAAATGGATAAAATCTTAAAAAAAAAAAAAAAATCTTGGGACACCTGGGTGGCTCAGCGGTTTAGTACTTGCCTTCAGCCCAGAGCATGCTCTTGGAGTCCCGGGATTGAGTCCCACATCGGCCTCCCCACACGGAGCCTGTTTCTCCCTCTGCCTTTCTCTGCCCCTCTCTCTCTCTCTCTGTCATTCTCATGAATAAATAAAATCTTAAAAAAAAAAAAATCTTAAAAAAAATTTCCCAGACGAAAAGAAGACACGATGAAAACCAGAAAGGCCTGCCGAGTCACCTAGCACCAGGTACACCAACCAGAGGCCCACCATCAGAGGCTTACATCCCACAGCTCCCAGGCCAGCCCTGCAGCCAAGCCCACCCATCTCAGGAGCAGAACCCTGTGAAATACACAGAGGGGTGAGGAGGGGTGGTCAGGGTGCCCCTGCCTCACCTCGCCCTGGCGCCTCGCCTTTGGGGAGGGACTGAAGAAGTTGTGCAGGACGGAGAGCTCAGTGCTGAAGAGCGCGCTCTCCTTCTCCAAGATGTACTGCTTCAGCAGCGGGGACACTTCGTCCCCAAATAGCGCCTGGTTGTCCTGCCAGATCTGCCGCTTCACCTCCACCGCGCAGGCGCGGTACAGCTCCTTGTCTGCCATCACCAGCTTCAGCTTTTTCTCGGGGACCTACCCGACCACACAGACCATTCGTGAGCTGCACCCGGCCCAGAGCTGCACCGTGAGGTCCAGACCATCCATGAGCTTCCCTTAAGCTAGGGCAGCAGGCCTTGGCCGCCCATTAGAGACCACCAGCAGGGCACCTGAGACGTGACCCACAGATGCAGGCAGCAAGCTGAATGCAAACAGTTCTTGCCAAGTCACCATGGGTCCCACAACCCAACTGACCTGCCAATCTTCCATCTGTGTGACTCAGAGGATGTGCCCCAGAGTCATTCGTGGGGCAGGCAGCTCGGGAGCCCTCCCCAACACTAAGATGCCCACCTACCCCGGATCCAGGGCATGCTCCTCCCCCAAGCAAGGGCGCCAGGCAGAGCGTGCCCTGGACATGTCGCCCATGGTTCTTACCTTGGGCAGATGTTTCATGACGCACATCACCACTGGCTGCAGGGATGGCATCTTCACCAGAGAAAAGCTCTTTTCCAGAAGGTCTTCCAGTTTCTTGTACCTGGAAAGACCCACTTTCTGAGGCAGCATCACAGGTTCCATGGGGAAACAGCTGCCCACTTGTCCCTGGACAGCTGACAGCTGAGCAGATGGGGCTCCACAGGCAGGACCCCCCTCTTACAGCTGGGGTGACCAGAGGGACGCTCACTTTGCAGGGTGGAGTCACCCACCCACCTCTCCTCTGCCTTCCCCTCCGACGCAATGGCCGACACGCGCTCCAGCAGCTTGTCCCGGAGCTCGTCGAACACAGACTGGTGGAACTCCAGCCGCGGCGTCCCGTGCAGGTCCAAGAAGGGCAGGGCGGACTGCAGGGAGGGCAGCAGCACGCCATTCTCGGTCTGAGGAGACAGAGGGCCCTTGTGCGCGGGGACGGGGCTGGGGGAATGCAGGAGGCGGCCTGGGTGGGGTCGGGGGGCAGCCTGGGGGTATGGGGGGCGGCCTGGGGGGGCGGGAGGCTGAGCTGGGGGGGTGGAGGGGCTGATGCGGTCGGGGCGGGGGGCGGCCTCTGTGGGGGGGGGGGGCGGCCACAGGCACCGCAGTAGCAGCCGCGCCCGACCAGCAGCCGGAGAGGCAGGGGCGAGGACGTGGCCGGCAGCCCTGGCTGTGACCCGGGCAGAATCCGTCCGCAGGGCGCAGAACCCCCGGCTCCTCCATCGGGGAGAAGCAACGAAGGGGCCCCACCTGGAACTGCTCGATGGCCTTGAGCGGCTCGGTGCAGTTGGTCAGCGTCTCCTTCAGGTCCTCGCCGTTGGCCACGCCCAGGTCCTGCAGCCCCGCGAACATGGCCGAGGCCGCGGCCCCCGCCCGGCTCGGCGCCCCATCCCCGCCGCGCTCCCCCGGTGCCGCCGCGGCCGCCGCAGACCCCCCAGGAGTCCGCTCGCTCGGGCCTCGGGGGCCACCCGAGCCCCGCTCCCCGGCACCCTCCAGCTCGGCCAGGTCCCGCCCGCGGCGCTGCTCCGCCGGCACCGCAGCCGCCCACTTCCGTCTGGCGCAGCCCGTCCGCGCTCCTACCGGTCCCCCGGAAACGCCGCCGCCGCGCAGAGGTTCCGGAGAGCGGGCTGTGGACGAGGGCCCCGCCCCCAGACCCCCCGGTGGCTCCAGCCCGCCCGGCGGCTTGCGCGGCCTGTGAGCTTACCCTCTAGATAAGGTTCTTCCGAGGGGGCATAGCGGGGTGCTGCGGGGCACCTGGGGATGGGGGAACCGCGGAAGGGGTGCTGCCCGCGGGCTAGGCCTCCTTTATGAATTTCAAAACTAATCATTTTGACCAAGTGTACTTTAAATTTTTTTTAAGATTTTATTTATTTATTCATGAGAGACACACAGAGAGGCAGAGACACAGGCAAAGGGAGAAGCAGGCTCCACGCAGGGAGCCCGATGTGGGACTCGATCCCAGGTCTCCAGGATCACGAAAAATCCTGTGGCTTACCTCACAGCAGCCTCTGACACTGAGAGTATTTTTTTGCTTCAAGAAAATGAGGCTCCCTGCCCTGGGGCCTCACCAGATGCTCAATCCTCTCTCCCCCGGAACTGGGACAGGGACGAGGACAGAATGAAGCACACAGCACAGGGGTGTTGTGAAAACTAAACTCTTAAGTGTGCTTCCTGAAGCGCCTAGCAGAGACCTTGGGACAAAGTGGAATCGTGACCTAGGACAGGCACCCTCTTTCACCCCCGCGAGCACCAAACCCCCAAGCTAATCCAAGGTGGTAGGCCTTCAGGTTGACCTATGCATCCTGGCACACCGCTAACTCAAATCTGAGGTTTCATGGTGCCCCCTATCCCTTGCCGTGCAAGAAGCTCCTACACGGTCAGTGGGCACTGCCTGGTCTGCACCATCCACGGGCTCCTCATTGCTGAGTGTGTAAGCCCCTGGACCCAGCATTCAGCCCTCTGCAGCCGCTCACCTCAACAGCTCACCTCCTTCCATCCAAACAGCTCTGTATCCTCCCAAGTTTGGCCACACCAAACATCACACCCTTATTGTGTGCCTTGGCTTCTGAGGTTTATCCTGCCAGAAATTCCCTTCCTACTGGCTGGCAAACTCTTCGTCATCTTCATTTTTTATTTTTTAAAAGATTTTTATTTATTTATTCATGAGAGACACACAGAGAGAGAAGGAGAGAGAGAGGCAAAGACACAGGCAGAGGGAGAAGCAAGTTCCATGCAGGGAGCCCGACATGGGACTCGATCCTGGGTCTCCAGGATCACACCCTGGATGGGGCTAAAGGCAGTGCTAAACTGCTGGGCCACCAGGGCTGCCCTTGATCATCTTTAAAAGTCACTTCTGCCACTGACTCCTCCAGGAAGTCCTCCCTTGTCAGCCCAGCTGGAGGGGTTTGCTCCATCCTTCCTGCTGGTCCCACTCCTGGCTTGGAGCCCTAGGAGTTGCTAGCGGGGCCACTGTGAGCAGAGCTCCTGCTCCCCACCCCCTTTCCCCCTGAGCCAAGCCCCCAAGGACAAGGCTTCTACAGCTTTGTCTCTGTTGCCTGCTGGCTGAGCTGATCAGCCCAAGACCTAAGGACAGCCATCTGCCATGCCACTGCTCTGGTTCCCAGGGGTGCTGAAGCTCGACCCCCCCAATGGTTCAGCCCTAGAAGAGGTCACAGTACATTACACTCAGACTCCCTGGGCCTTGGCCTCCCTGCAGAATGGGATGATGTCCACACCACAGCAGGTGTTGTGGCACTCACTGCCTTTCTGAAGGGGTCAAGCTCTGGCCCAGGATATGGGTGGCCCAGGGAGGACCTCTGGAGAAACTGGTGCAGTGATACGAGCCACCACCAAACTGCATGTGCGGCCCCTGGAGGGAGACAATCTTGGTGACAACCCCTGGGTAGAAAGGCAGGGTGTTGCTGTGGGTAGGGACAGGGCCCTAACAAGTGAAGGCCCAGGAAGTCTGTTGGCTGTGGCATGACCTGCATGGCCCTGGGCAGGTTCATAGGTCCTTGGGCAGGAGCTGAAGAAGTGCGGCCAGGCCCTGACAAGCTGGTCCTCTGGGCTGTTCCCAGTGACTGGGCAGGCTGACCTCACCTCAAGATGGCAGCTGGACCAGTCCCCAGGGTAGCACAGCTAGGTGGGGGTGTCCTGTATTGCCCACAGGGCCCCCTCCCATTCTGTCCCCAGCCAGGAAGTCCCAGGCTGCCACCCTACTCACCCTAGAAAGGAGAGCACCAAGGGGGAAGCAGAGGGAGACCCCCTGGCCAAGGAAAGCCAAACATGGCAGGTTGGCAGCAGCCTACATCTGTGGGACAGCTCACCAGTCAGGCACACAACAGAGTTGGGAAGAACCAACAGCATCTCTGTATGGCAAGGGAGTGGGCAGGTGGGGGCTTCCAGCTGGGACCCTCTCGATGTCCATGGCTCACAGAAGGGTTAGCCAGCCAGAAGGGTGGATCAGAGGTGCCCAAGGAGTCAGAAGGCCAGGTGGAGGCCCAGAGTTCCACAGGGAGGCCTGGGAAGGCCCCCAGGGAGCCCAGGGCTGTGCCCAGCAGGTGCTACAACGTGCAGAAGGGTCCTGTGTCGTGGCGCTTGGATCTTCGGACACCCTGGATCACCACTCCAGGCGCTGAGGGGAAGCGCGAGTCATAGCAATCCTCCACGTGGTAGGCAGCCGGGCCGGGAGAGCGGGCTGCAGAGACAGGGTGGGAGCCAGCTGCCGCACAGCTCCCAGCTGCCAACGGGCGGAGCCCGCACCCCCCGCCCCTGGCCTGGCCTCCTCCCTCAGAGGCCTCCTTACGGGAGATGACCCAGGCGGTGAACGCAGGTGAGCGGCTCAAGGAGAAGGCGGGGGGGCGGGGACTCCGCAGACGGCACCCAGGAAAGATGTTGTAGGTGTTGGGGCTAGGGCTGGGGAGCTTCCTGGCCTCCGGGGCAAGCGGCGGCTGGGCACGGATCCCCGCACCCTCAGTCCGCAGCAACCCCCGGCCGGAGGGGGCCTCAAGGGCCTTGGAGGCGGGGCGGGGACCCCCAAAGCTGAAGGCCGGGCAGGCAGGCCGGCTGAGGGGCCGGTAATCCGCGGGCGATGGCCACTGCTGGGAGAGAGGCTGCTGCAGGCCCCGCCAGCCCCTACCAGGCTGCCTTTCCGCCAGTCCCGGGCCCCCTCCTCCAACCCCCTGCAGACCCCGCCCCGGCCCCGCCCCGGCCCCGCCCCCGCCCCGGAGTCCCTCTTCTGCCCCGCCCCCAGGCCGCACCGCCTCCTCCAGCCCTCCGGGCCCCGCCCCGAGCCCCTCCAGGGACTTGCGGGGCTGACCCTCCACCTTTCGCTCCTGGTTGAAATCAGCCTTCTGTGTGAAGGGGCTTTCGCTTTGGAACCACAGGGTCTGCCACGCCCTGCGACCACCGCCCTCTGCTGGAGCAGCGGCGTGGTTGGGGAGGGAGCGCAGGCTGGCGGCCGGGGGGCGGGCCCCACTCCCGGGACAGGGGGCGGGCGGCGGGGGGCTCAGGGAGGGGCACGCACCGCGGCCGGGGTGCCGGCGGCCGATGCTGAAGCAGGGGTGTGGGGAGCACTCGCGGACGGAAGCGTTGGGCACCCGGTACTTGGTGGGACCGGGGACCTGCAGGTCGGTCACGATGGGTGGACGTCGCTCCAGCCCTGGCAGGAAGCAAGCTCTGGGCCTGGGGACTCAGCAGGCGCCTCCCCACCCCTGCTAGCAGGACCCTGACTCACACAGCTCCCTCAGGTCCTGGGTGCAGATAGGAGGGCACTCGTGGATGTGGACGGGCCCCACCGGCACCCTGCAGTGGGCCTGGAGCTCCTGCACCCCTATGGGCCACATGGCCTCCCAGGCGACCTCTGGCTGGGGAGCCCACAACAGTACAGTAGCCTTGGGCCTGCCAGGGAGACAGAGCAGCGCTGTACGGCCAGCCCAGCGGCCACCCCATCTGAGCTGCCCCTCCAGCACACCCAGCCCCCTAGGAAGTTACTGGGCTGGCACAAGTGGCCTCTGCCTCAGGGGGCCATGGGTCCAGTGTTGGCCTCCATTGATGTAAAAATTTGCCAGGAATTTCACGGCTTTCTGGTCAAAATTCATTGTCAAAGTATCTGGCTCCCTTCCCAAGGGACACCTCAGAGCTCTGTGACCTCACTAGCCAGTCATGGGCACCCCCTGCCTCAGTTGCCGGGGACTCCCTGGGAAAGGTGCATTGTCCAGCCCTGGGAGGAGCTGTTACAAGGGGCCACCCACCCCTGGCCTGTGGGATGGGTCACTGTGGTGTCAGCTTTGGCCAGGAGGACCCCTCACATCCCCCAGTGACTTCTGGCTTGGCCTCTTCTCCCCTTCTTTATCCCAACCCCTCTCCTCTCTTAGAATCTGGGGTCCTCTGGAGGGCCAGGGTCCACTTGAGCAAGGCTTTGGGAGGACTGAGGCCTCTGCACAGGAATGAGAAGAGTGGCTGCTATGGGGTGCCCAGCTGTGCAGGGCCATCCAGAATGAGGAGAGTGGGGCGGAGGTGGGGATGGGTCCAAGGAAACTCCCTGGAGGTGGCGGAGCTCCTGCTGGAAACCCACCCTTTAGAAAAGCAAAGCATTGGAAGGTGGTTCTGGGTGGACCATGCTGACCAGAGTGTCTTGGGACTGGAGCTGCCTGGGGGTACAGGCAGGGCTGAGGTATGGAGGCATGTTTTCCACTTAGGAGGATCCCAGAGGCTGTAAGTTGTCACAGATGAAAGGGCTGCCCAGGTGGAAACGTGAAGGAATCATAAGCCCAAATGACAGAGCCCACTGGGCACCAGGGCCCTTGCTATGCCCTCTGCCACTCACCAGCCTGCCAGTCCTAGCCCTGGTCCTGACCTAATCCACACAGGCAGGGCCCATTCGAAAACGTCCCATCCTCCAGACCCACCCCACCCCAACCAAGTCTCTTTCTCTCCAGATCCCTCCCATCCAGCACTGACTCTGGCCTCCGGAGGAGCTCCAGATGGGTGAATGGAGAGACAGAGGGAAACTTGCTTTGTGACACACGTTTCATTAGGGTGAGGGGCTTGCGGCCTGTGCTCTGGGCCCCCTCCCTTACCACACAGTGTTCTCCAAGGGCATCACTGATGTGGCTGCAGGTGCAGCTTTGGTAGCCAAGTCCTTGTCACTCTCTGTAGCCCTGATCTCTCCCTGTAACAAGTCTTATTCTGATGGCTGACATAGCACAGGTGTCCTCAGGTCGATGTCCATAATTTCCTTCTGGTAGGTGCTTATGAGCGAAGAGCCCTGTCCAAGTACGTGACGTCCACTGAGGACTGGACACATACCAGCTGTTTTCGGGGGCATCCAACACCTCCATCATTGGCGTGTGTCAACCTTGTGTCCCTGTGCTTCCTGCCCATGGGTTCTTAAGACGCTCACATGATGTGGATTTCTCTACCATGGTGTTAATTGGTCTTGTTTCTGTGAAGTTTTGACACTGATAGTGTATCTCTCCCTAACACGTGTTGCAATCTTTTTTCCCAGCTTGTAGTCTGCCTTTGAGTATCTGTCGTGTTTTTTTTTTTTTTTGACGCGTAATAGAATCTGCTTATTTTTTCCTTCAATACGTTTGTTTTTATCGTTAGAAAGTCATTCCCATACAAAAAAATAATAAAATCAGGTGTTAAGATGGAAAATAGACCTCAGTTCCAGCAGACTCTCCAGGACAGAGTCCCAACAGAGCTTAGACACCTCCCCAATGAGGCCTCCCATGATGCCTGAGAAGCTTCCAGGGCCTCTGGTCTGAGGAAGGGGCTCAGGTGGGGAAGCTACCTTTCAGTTGGCTACTGGCCTCCTGGGGGTAGCAAGAGTCCAGGCTCAATGCCACCGCACCCTTCCTGGCAAGGCCAACATGGCTGTCCCCTGCTCTGAGCTCTGAGGCCCTCAGAGTGCTGCCTGTCTGGGCCTGGGTGTTCCACCTGTAAAATGGGAGCACTCACAGGGTTAAGGAACGGTCCTGGACCAGGAAGGCCCCAACAATGGCAGGCCCCTTCACAATGGTTTCCAGGCAACGGGGACTCCTCTCAGGGAAGGGAGTCAGACGCTGAAAGGGGCTGGAGCCATCAAAGGTGCTGTTGAGACAAGATGACAGCTACTCAGAAACACGGTCTCTTCACACCAGAACCTCATTACATCCCTGGGTGAGGCTAGGGGAGCGGGGGAGGAGGCTGGGGGAGCGGGGCCAGGTCTGGACGCTAGGGCAGGGTGCTCTCCCTGCCAGCACTGCACCAAGAGCCCGACCCGATGGCCAACAGGCCTGTGATGAGCAGAAACCGGGGGACGGCCTAGCAGCGGGATAAACCCCAAATGCCCCAGAGGGGGTGCCACATGTCTTCAAGACATAAGCCACTGGAGCAGGCGGATGGTGGGGGCACCAGGCCGGCCAGGTTGGGTACCCCTAACGTAGAGGCTGAACTAAAACAAGCCCCATGGGAAGTGTATGAGCACACCTACGTGCACACACACACACACACACACCCAAGGGCAGGAAGAAAGGCTGGAGGGGAGGCTAACCCAGCTCTTCACAGTTCTAGGGGAAACGCAAGGCCAGGTGACACAGAAGACAACCCCTGCCCTTTGCACTCCAGCCCTGCTTATCTCTCAAAGTAGTAATTCCACATTTGCTTTGGCAGGTTTTTCGAAAGAAAACAATTTGCACTGCCTGGGTGATCATGCAGGCCCCACCGCTACCCCCCCTTCTGTCTCTAAATGATGGGATGCCTGGGTGGCTCAGTGGTTCAGTGTCTGCCTTTGGCTCAGGGTGTGATCCCAGAGTCCTGGGATGGAGTCCCACATCAGGCTTCCTGCATGGAGCCTGCTTCTCCCTCTGCCTAGGTCTCTACCTCCTTCTCTCTCTCTCTCCTGTCTCTCATGAATAAATAAAATCTTTATTTTTAAAAATATTTTATTTATTTATTCATGAGAAAGAGAGAGAGAGAGAGAGAGACAGACAGACAGACAGAGGGAGAAGCCGGCTCCATGCAGGGAGCCCAACGTGGGACTCGATCCGGGGACTCCAGGATCAGGCCCTGGGCCAAAGGTGGCCCTAAACCGCTGAGCCACCGGGCTGCCCAAATAAAATCTTTTAAAAAAAATAAATGACACCTCAGCCATTGCCTCCTACCAGCAGCCCTCCCACCTGCCTCTCAAATCCTGGTCCCATACAGTTGGCTCCTGGCCTCGTGGGTGGCAAAAGTCCAGGCCAAGTTCCTGCAATGCCCAGAGGGACCACCTCTGTAGGTTGGGCTGTGCCACGGTCCAGGCCTGGACCCAGTCACCATCCCCGTAAGCGCTTCAGGGGGCAGAGATCCCTGTCCCCTCATCCTCAGCCTCCTTGCCTGAGGCCAGCTGGGAAGAAAGTAGAAGGCAATCTGGCGGTAAGGACGACTGTGCATCTGTTCTGGGCCAGGCCTGTTCTCAGTGCTTGCCTCGTGCCTCCCATTCAAGCCCTGTGCACCTCAGAAGGCAGGTGTCCCAGGACCACCATTCTGTAGGTGAGGTCAGGTACTTTGCCTATGGCCAGCAGGCCGTGTCCACACCCTGCTCACAGGGGCCCCACCTACTCTACCTCTTCCCTCCACAGCTATGCTGGCTTCTATCCGCAACTGCGCTACCAGGTGGGGAACACCTATGGGCGCACCACTGCTCAGTTGCTCACAGACCCTGGTGTGCAGAAGAGCTCCTGCTCTGTGCTGTCCCCAATATCTGAGCCCAAATTCATTGAGGACTTCAGCAAGCACAAGCCACCTTCAATCCCCTGCCGTGACCTGACTGAGCCCTACATCCCCCACTACACCGGTAAGCCGCCTGCCCACCAGCCTTGCCTGCCCCAGAACACCCTCCTGCCTGTTGTCACTCATACCCACCCTGTCCGTACAGGTATGAAGCCCTACAAGAAGTTTGAGATCCTAGGCCGGTTCCTACCCCAGGAGGTAGACGCTCAGAAGGGGCCACCAGGAGTAGAGAATATATCCAGGCAGGTCCTGCTGCCTGCGGGCTTCATGCCCTACCCCCCCTATCCCCTGTGCCCACCAGGCAGGAAGGGGGACTCCAGAAACTTTGGACACCCAGGCCTGCAGAGCACCTCCCCTATCCACGAGGCCCCTGGGCAGGACCAGGTAACTGGGAGAGGTGCTGGGACTAAGCCTCACCCCAGCTGGGCCCAGTGGGGCCGCTGAGGCAGTGACTTGACCCTTCCCACTCCAGCTGTACCATTGTAGGAAGGAGTACTACCCACCCCCAGCTCACCAGCAGGAGACTCTGGATGTGGGCAGGTTCCACAGGCTGCCCCAGCTGGACCACCCCAACCTGATCCAACGCAAGGCCATCTCAGGTGGGAGCCCGGGGTCTGAGTGTGAACTCACCACCCCCAAACATAGTCCAGCAAGGCTCCAGGGGCCCAGGAGGATGAGGGAGAGCAAGTGAGGAGGGCTTGCCCCGGCCCTGCCCACTGTTTCCTAGAGTGTGGGTACACCTAGCGGAGATGGGAGGGGACCTGGGGTAGGACCCTGACCACTTCCCTCCCCTAGGCTACGCTGGCTTCGTCCCTCAGTTTGCCTGGGTGATGGGGGTCAATTACCGCGAGGGTGTCACACAGGCTATGGATGAATTTGACAAGAACCAGGTAGGACACCACCACACCGGGGCCTGTTTCCAAATGCCCAGCATGGTCTGCACAGTGGCATCTGCCTCAGGGCAGGTAGGAGCACAGCTAAAGCTCAGCTGGCTTCCCTGGAGGGAAGCCAGAGGCTCCCCCACTCCTCTGCACCCACCTCGGTTCTCTAGTCGGGGCCAAAGTTCCCTGCTCTGGAATACTGTGGGGAGTGGGTAAGACACCCCCACCCCCACCCCAAGCCTTAACCACAGATCAGAACAGCAGCCCAGTCCTCACCACGACCTACCTTTATGAGCTGGGGAAGGCAGCTTGTGTCAGCACCTGTTTCCACAGTTCCTCTTCAGAAACCCCATCTGTGCTCTGGGTGAGAGGCTGCCCAGAACACACTGGCCCAGCAACACCATCTATAGCAGCCAAGGCCTGATCCCTTTCTACATGGGGTTCATACCATGTGAGTACACAGTGGATCACTCCCTCATCCACCTCCTAGGTAAGGTCACAGTGACCAGGCCACTCTGGGTAAGAGTTGGGTGCCTGGGATCCCCTCTGCCCATGCTGTACCCCCAGACCATAGTGGCCCTCCAGAGCTTCATGGTCAAGCCGGGCAGGAAGCAGGTGCCCAGGGCAACCCCAGCTCCTGTGAAGCCTGTGCTAACCCCTACTCTGGGCATGTGGCAAGGCCAGGGGCTCAGCTGCACACTGTCCCTTGTAGCCATGCAAGACAACCACGCAATGACATTTGGCAACAGTACCCGCAGGGCCTATCAGAAAGAAATGGAGAGGCAACACCAGACACTATGAAAATGCTTTAATGGTGGCATCTGTACAGCATGTGACGTCCAGACAGGAAAAAGAGCGAGTGCACACAGAGACACGGCTATCAGAGAACAGGTTGTGAGCGAATAAAGAGTTCACACAGCTTCCACGCGCTTTACCAGGTATCAGATCTAGGCCACCTCCTCCTCCGCCTCCTCCTCGAACTCCCCCTCTTCCTCGGCCGTGGCATCCTGGTACTGCTGGTACTCAGACACCAGGTCATTCATGTTGCTCTCGGCCTCTGTGAACTCCATCTCGTCCATGCCCTCACCCGTGTACCAGTGTAGGAAGGCCTTGCGCCGGAACATGGCTGTGAACTGCTCTGAGATGCGCTTGAACAGCTCCTGGATGGCTGTGCTGTTGCCGATGAAGGTGGCAGACATCTTTAGCCCCCGGGGTGGGATGTCACAGACAGCGGTTTTCACGTTGTTGGGGATCCACTCGACGAAATAGCTGCTGTTCTTGTTTTGGACGTTCAGCATCTGCTCGTCCACCTCCTTCATGGACATGCGGCCCCTGAATACTGCGGCCACAGTCAGGTAGCGGCCATGGCGGGGATCACAGGCAGCCATCATGTTCTTAGCATCAAACATCTGCTGGGTGAGCTCGGGCACCGTCAGGGCCCGGTACTGCTGGCTACCTCGGCTGGTCAGTGGGGCGAAGCCGGGCATGAAGAAGTGCAGGCGGGGGAAGGGGACCATATTGACAGCCAGCTTGCGCAGGTCAGCATTGAGCTGGCCAGGAAAGCGCAGGCAGGTGGTGACCCCACTCATGGTGGCAGACACCAGGTGGTTGAGGTCCCCATAGGTAGGTGTGGTCAGTTTTAGGGTTCTGAAGCAGATATCATAGAGAGCCTCGTTATCAATGCAATAGGTTTCGTCTGTGTTTTCTACCAGCTGGTGGACCGAGAGGGTGGCATTATAGGGCTCCACCACCGTGTCCGATACCTTGGGTGAGGGTACCACACTGAATGTGTTCATGATCCTGTCTGGGTACTCCTCCCGGATCTTGCTGATGAGGAGGGTCCCCATCCCAGACCCAGTCCCCCCACCCAGGGAGTGGGTCAGCTGGAAGCCCTGCAGGCAGTCACAGCTTTCAGCCTCCTTCCTCACGACATCCAACACCGAGTCGACCAGCTCTGCACCTTCTGTGTAGTGCCCCTTGGCCCAGTTGTTCCCAGCACCACTCTGACCTGTAAGAGGGCAGCCAGTCACTCTCTGCCGGGCATGTGGCCACCACTGGTCACCCATGCCAAAAAGCCCAAATAACACGGTGTGACGGGACACACATGGCTTGATCTGCATGTACAGCAAACGGACCCCAAAACTGATAAAGCAACGACCGGCCCCTTTAAAACTTAAGTTAGGGTCAACACACCTTATCTTTAAATCCTCTCCTCCCCACAGTCCACCCCCGCCAATTCTCAAAAACAGAGGCACTGCAAACACAGCCTCCCCTGCCTCCCAACTCAACATTACAGCAGGGAGATTACATCTGCTGGCTCCTTCCCTGCGGGTGGACAGCTGGGCCTTCCTCCCAAAGCCGCTTTAGGAGGAGATTCAGAGACTCCACACAGGGAAGGAGGGTGTCTAGCTTCCACTCCAGCGGCAGAATGGATCACGACCTCAGCTCTGCGGTGCTGCCGGCTGCGACCTTGGGCACCCCTTGACCTTTGAGCCGTCCTGGCTATCATGCCGCTGCCCAGCCCCCACCCCGCAGCTCACCGAAAACGAAGTTGTCTGGCCTGAATATTTGCCCGAAGGGTCCCGAGCGCACGGAGTCCATGGTGCCGGGCTCTAGGTCCACGAGCACAGCGCGGGGCACATACTTGCCACCTAGGGAGGGAGAGGGGGACGTGAGCGAGCGGAGAGCCGCGGGGACGCAGTAGTAGTTGAGGAAGGGGCGTGGTGTCTCACCGGTGGCCTCGTTGTAGTACACGTTGATCCGCTCCAGCTGCAGATCGCTGTCGCCATGGTAAGTGCCGGTAGGATCGATGCCATGCTCGTCGCTGATCACCTCCCAGAACTGTGAGGGACGCAGGCGGGCCGGGCCCGGGCTGAGTCACGCCGGCAGAGCCGGCCCCGCCCCGGATGGGCGCGGCCCTCCCCTCCCCCCACGCGGCTGCCGCCGCCGGCGTCTGCCCAGGTCCGTCCCCGGGGGCCCACGCCGCCACCCGGCCCCGACCCAGCGCGGGGCCGCAATGCGGGGGGCCGCCCGCCCACCCGCTCGCCTACGGCCGCCATCTTCTCGGCCGCCCGCCCATCCGCCCGGGAGACCCGCGCCGGGCCCCAGGAGCCCCCCTGCCCACCTTGGCGCCGATCTGGTTGCCGCACTGGCCGGCCTGCAGGTGCACGATCTCCCTCATGGCGGCGGCGGCGGCGCGGGCGGAAGGACGAACGCAAAAGCCGAGGAACGGGCGCGCAGACTGCTACAACCGACGCTCCGCCAACGTTTATATAGCTGCCGCGCCCGCCCCCGCCAGTCTCCTATTGGGCCGCCAGAACGAGGCTGGCAGGCGTCCCGGCTTGATTGGCTGCGCTCCCCGTCGATCCGTCCGCCTAATGCCCTCCTTCCCAACGCCGCTCGCTCTTTATTGGTCCGCCTCGGCCTCCGCTCTCCCTATCAGAACCCCCGCCCTCGAGCTGCAGTGCTTTGCCCATTGGGTATTTCAAATGATTGATTTGCCCCCTCATTGGCTGGCCCCGCAGAGCACGCCGACCGAGGGCCGGCGTCCTGGTAACCGCCGCAGTGCCGCGGGGACGCGCGCGGGCGTGGGGGGTGGGGCCTCCGGGGGAGGGCCCGCGGGCTGGTGGGGAGGGCGGGGCGGCTCTGCAGACCCGGTGGCCTTAAGGAACCCAACCACGGGCCGGCGCGGGAGCGGGGGCGCTGCAGGGGCCAGGGGATGGGGGGGTGGCCTGACGCGGGGCCGGGGGCACAGGGGGGTAGCTGTCCCGCCGCCGTCCTCGGTCCGCGTGCTCGCCCGCCCGGTCGCGGTCAGGTGAGGGAGCACGTGGGGCCGCCGTCCCGGGGGCCCTCCCTGTCGCCGCGCTCTTGTTGTGGAGACGGCGCTGCGCCGCGCCGGTTGCCGGGAGCCTCGGCCCCGGGAGCACGCAGAGCTGCGTGGAGACGCGGGCGGGCCCCTGACCCCGATCCCTGGGCCCCGCTGCCCCAGCCACGCCTGCACTGACAAGTGCTTTTGCGTTTCCCCAGTGCTCTGAGGGAAGTCTACAAGGAAACACAGTTATATAACATGTGGTCGCACTTTCGGTCCGTCTTTCAAAAGGGCACTCGCAGTCTGTTCTTAGACCCTCTTAAACTCCCGAAGGGCAGCCCTGTGTCAGCCGTGGCCGCCCGCGCCTCCCTAGACTCTGGTTTTGCCCGCGAGCCGCCACCCCATCCCTGGCTTGTCTCCCAGGTGCTGGGAACTGCGGTATGCGGCAGCCGCGACCGCGAACGTGTGCGGGAAAGTAGGAGCAGGCGGCGTGCTGGCTAGAGCCCAGGGTTCTCGGGCCCACAGTGGTCCGCAGCTGTGCTCCTCCAGGACTGCAGTGGCCGGAGGGTGAGTCAGCACGGCCTGTGCGGGAAGGTGGACCTGGCTGCCGGGCGAGGTGTGCACAGGGTTCCCTCACAGGGCCCCGTAGACTCGCTCAGTTGCCCAGGCAGCCGTGGGCTGGGCCCGGCTCTGCTGCAGTCATAAATCCAGAGATCCGCGGAGGAAGGGAGCAGCTCAGAGGTTCCCCAGTGAGTCCAGGAGGGCTGCTCTTGCAGTTTGTCAAAGGCTTCTCTGGCCCCCCTCCCCCCCCCCGCACCCCCTTGCCCCAAGCTGTGAGGCCTGAGATTCCCGGCCCCCCGCTTCCTGCCGCCTGTGCCCACGTTTCAGTGTGCCACCCCTACTTTGTAAACGACAAAGCAGAGGCTGTGTTTCTGCCCAGGTGTGAGCCCTAGAGCTCAGAGACACCGGGTTGTCCACCATGACCCCAGGAGGTAGACACTGAGAGCAAGACCACGGAAGTCTCCCTATGGCCCTCAGGCATGAGCCCAAGGACCATGGTGGTAGCTGCTATACAGGCTTGTGGGGGAGGCCCTGCAGACCCCCCCACCCTGAGCCCAGGCTGTTCCTGCCTCCGTGTGGAGGAGTGGGTCTGTGTGGGGCAGGAGGGCTTGGGCACAGGGTGGGTCTGTGGCCAGGAGGGATGCAGAGGCCTGGGCAGGGCTGTGGGAGAGCTGGGCGCCTGCCCCCCCACACCCCGCCCCAGCCTGCAGCTGTTGGAGGCATCCACAAATGGAGGCTCTGTTTACCGGTGGCCATGGTCCCAGCGGGAGGGTGCGTTACTGCCAGCCAGGGGCGGCAGGCAGACACTCGTCCATGGCCTCAAAGGACCCGCAGTCAGCCTTTGTGGGCAGCCTCACCCGCCCCGGAAGGAGGGGTGCCTGCGGTGCTCCCCCCCCTCATGTCCCCACCACAGGGAGGGAGAGCTCCTGCACGCGTCTCCCCAGGGCACTAGCCAGATCCAGCCCAGCTCAGAGGGCCCAGAAGGCTGATGTCCACCCCTGGGAGTGTCCTGAGGTCACAGAAGGCGGTTTGGGGGTGGGGGACAAGCTGGAACGTATGAGCCCGCCCCCAGTCTTGCTCCCAAGAGCCCCAGAACAGGAAGCTACCTCCATTGGTGAGCAGCGAACCCCAGGCTTCGGAGGCCTGGAAGCTTGGTGGTGGGGGGGACAGAGGACATGGGGGGCAGAGGGGAATGAGGGCTGGGAGTTCTGAGGGGAGTGGAAAGACAGGACCGTTTATGCGTTGGCCCTGAGGCTCCCCAGGTCTGTTCTTGCTGAGCATTCACTCTCCCCACACTGGGGCTGGGTGGGCAAACCTGGAGGGCCCCGGGAGGCGGTGCCAGACAAAGAGGAGGTGACTGCCTATAGCAGCACTGGAAGAGCTGGAGCAGGCCAGACTCCTACCCATGTTACCTCCACCTCTACTCTGTGGGCATGTGCCCCTCAGGGGAGGGGCGGGGTGGGGCAAGAGCCCGCTGGGGGGGGTGCACCCCCAGCCCCAGGTGAAGGGACAGTGCTTGGCCTCTCCCTCCGCCCGCTGACCTTCACAATCCTCACAGCCAAGGGGTTTGGGTGGCATGCTGGCAGGGGCTCCAGGTGCGGGCAGGACCCACCAGGAGATGGGTCATGTGGGGAGCAGGCGAAGGGGGAGGAAGGGGCAATGGGCACCTGGTCCCCTGGGCCACGGCATCCCTGAGCCTTTGCTTACTCAGACACTGCCCTGTGCCCTGCCCATCATGGGGGGCAGTATGGGAGTGGGGGTCTGGGGCCTCCTGGTCCTTGCTCATCCTCTCCTCAGGCCCTGGGCACCTGCAGAAACCATGAGGCTGGCTCTCGGAGGAGCTGCCAGCACCTGGCTCCCAGGGCGCATACTCAGGGGATGGTGGGGCGTGGGAGCCGGCCACTCCTCCATCCTTCACCCAACAGTCCCAGCTATGTCCAGCCACAGATTCTTTCTGAGGAATGTCTCTATGCTCCAGACTGGCCACCACTTGGTCCCCAGAGGCTCAGGAGGGAAACAGTTACAGCCTGGGACTCTGGGATTAGGTCTGTGCCCACACCCACACGGGCTGTAGAGGGTCCCAAGTGTCACCTGGGGGACAGCCAGAGCTGGTTCACCTCCAGTTCACCCTGGAGCACGATCAGGGTTCCTCTGTAGTAAGGGGAGTACAGACCACTCACACCTGAGTCATAGCCTTGTTTATTTGCAAAGTAGGCAAACCAGGTGACTCAAGTCTTCTGCTACTGGATCCCCCAGGGTACCCAGGAGTCGGTGAAGTGGGAGTGCCCGCCCTTCACAACTGGTGGGAGGCCAGGACCTCAGGGTTCTCATAGCAGTGGGCCTCCTTGGCAGCGGCCTGAGGGGGGCTGCAGACCTTGCAAGGGCAGCAGCCGCTCACCAGGCGGTCCCAGGGCTCCAGAGAATGGAGCCAGATGGGGAGCCAGGCCCAGGACCTGAGGTGGCGGGGCAGCCAGGCTGGCCGGTGCTGCTGCAGGACATTGACCAGGACGATGAGGAGCAGCAGCCCCACCAGGGGTCCCCCGACTGCAGCCAGCACCGTGCTCCCTGCCAGGGAGAGCCCGAAGGCAGCCAGGGGCAGCAGCAGGAAGCTGAGCAGCAAATAGGCAATGGCCACCCAGCGGTAGTTGGCAGTCAAATCCCCGAAGCGCTTGGCCAGCGGGATGGGCAACCGCAGGACAGGCACCACATACCACAGCAGGATGCCAGCCAGATTGAAAAAGAAGTGGATGAGGGCAACCTAGAAGTCCAGAGGGCAGGCAGGGTTAGGAGCCCGGGTCCTAGGGCACACAGGTCCCCTTTGGCTACTCAGGACACCTGCTCTTCCTCCTCCGACCCATAGCTACCCCCTACCCCGGCAAAAAGGATACTAAGTTGGAAGCCTGTTTGAGGTCCCTGTGTTCTCAAGGGGTCCCCTTAGAAGGGCAGATTCCAGCAGGGTATGGGTATGCTCCTCTAGTAGCGCCCCACTCCCCCTCCATACACTTACGGGGTGGGATCCCAGTCTAGCATCCCAGTGTGCTAGCTACATCACCAGTGGACTCCCAGACCTGCTCTCCTGTGCTGGCTTAGCTTGCCCACACCTCATGCTTAGTGACCTCACTCCTGCTTATCCACAAGTGGGCTTGGCCACCCAGCCCTGGGCTCTGGCCTGGCTCCTGTGGGGGTGCAGGGAACATAGCCCCCTCTGGGGGCTGCTGGCCTTGAGAAGTCGGTGTGGAAGGTGCAGTCGGAGGGCTTCCTGGAGGGGGTGGACCAGGGCCCTGCACTGAGAGGGTCTGAGTAGACAGAGAAGAGGCAAAAATCCAGGTGGGTGGTAGGGAGGGCTTGTGGGCAGAAGCCCAGCAAGATCTGGGCCTTCAGGAGCTGCGCCTGTCTGGGCATCTTGGCAGAGGCAGTGGAGGAGGGAAAGCAAAAGCAGAGCCAGGGCAGTGGACTGCAGCAAGGGTGACTTAGAGACTTAGTAGGGCTAAATGGGACTGAGTGTGGGCCACAGAGCCAGGGGACCAGAGGGAGGCATCCTGGAGGCAGAATTGTGGTCTTGGGCAAGGGCAGCTGGGAGCACCCGGCACAGGTGTGGTAGGGCTTTGGCAGGAAGATGGCATGCTGTCCAGGTAGGGACCTGTTGGGTTTAGGTGTGGGGAGGGGGGGTGCATCCAAGAGGTGGTGGGATAGGGGGGCTTGAGATCCCTTGAAGGAACAGGCCATAGTATCCTTGAAATGACCTGGTCCCAGGGGAGGAAGAGCAGGGCTGGGGGTCCAAGAGATGTCCACAGGATCCCCAGGGTTCCAGGAGGTGGGGCTGCAGGTCTGACCTGGCAGCCAGATGTGGGTCCCAGGACAGCGAGTGCC